TCATCATTGCCTCTAAAATTGGAAAATTTCATAACATTTCAGCTTTCTTTTAATCTCTATTAATGTCATCCATGTCTCTGTGTTAGCATTAGCCTACTAGCTTTCATAAACTATAGAAGCTCACATGAAATGAATGCGAAAGCGATCTTCGCAGTAATAAACACTTCTTAAGCAGTAGTGAAAATATGACCTGAAAAAAAATTCAGGCCTGTACGGGATTTGAACCTATGACCTTTGAGATACCGGTGTAGCGCTCTACCAACTGAGCTGACAAAAAGCCAACTGGGAGCTGGTCAGTATGTTGGTTAACAATGAGCCCATGAAATGATGAATAAATGACCTTTTTCAGGCCTTATTTTCACAACTGCTTAAAGCTCATATGGTTTAATAACTATGAAGGCGGGATAAATGTTATCAGTCAACATTCCGTTTTGCATATTTAAGTCTAGACTAGCATATTTAATGAAATTAATGTGTGCATTGTGAGGTAGTGTAATTTAATTGACGTCAGTGTTTTCATACCGCCAATTCATTATTGCGTTCACGAGACTCGAAAGGTTTATCCATCGTTGCCATATTGTATCCTTTATAGAGAAAGCCACTGGGTCCTTTACCCGTCTCTATGTCTCCATTGTGACGCTTCTCACCGCTACCTTTGTTGTTTGTCCACTTACATTTACAGTCGCTGATTGAAATTTGTATCCCGACACATCCATGACCCAGCTATCGTCCCTCCGTCTCTCATTGCTGGCGCGAAAAAGATCTTGTATTCAGTCAATGCTCTGGAAGTCAAGAACAGTACCGCATTATCGACTACTCTCCCACAAAGAGACACCAGCAAGAGCAAAGAGCAAATACCTACCCGTTTGAGCAGCTCCGTTTTTTCATCCATTCGGGCCTTATTCTCTTTGCGTTAACCTTATGGGAGAGCCAGAATATCGGTCCACTCATACGCACCCACTAACCGGTCGGTGTCGTTTTGTGACAGAGCAGAAGCAACGACCCTCTCATGGGAGAGCATAATATATTTGAATAAAGGGGTGAGTCTCTAAAGAAACTGTGTTGCTGCGTCGGTGGAAAAGTATAACAACTTAATTTTGTTTTATTGACTGAGTTGATAACGTAATTTGGCCACCGTAAAGAGTTTCCAAGGCGACGTTTCAAGCGTTAGCACTTCGTCTCTCGCTCAGACGAAGGGGTAACGCTGGAATGTCAGCTTTGAAACTCTTGCTGTTGCAAATTTACGTTATCGACTCAGTTGATAAAACCTTATTACCTTATCATTTATCTGATCAGACGAAGTGGCTAAGCTTTGTTATTATATCGCTGGCAGTGCCCGTGGGCAGTATGAAGTGAATCCTGTTCTCTGATTGGCTATCTAAGCGGGCAAGATGGCCCATCACGATCTTGGCGATGTAGTCGCAAAAAAACTCGGCAGAGGGAGATTAAAACAAAGAAAACATAAACAACTCACCCGCGTTTGCTTTACTACAAACACAGTTGGCCTTCTCGTCCGGTTCTCTCATATATGTTTTTTGCATTCACCTTTCACAAATGATCACTGCTATAGTGGAAAAAAAAAAGGTTGCAGTCTCTTTCATTCAATAAATTTTGCTTATTGCCTGTAAATTTTTATGACACTGATGCCCTAATATTGTCATAGTGGCAAAAGTTGTAAGGAAGATACATGGGTTGAACTCAAATCAAAGTAAATGATTATTTAAGAAAATTATTTGCACAAGTTGTGGAATAAATATACTTTTAATTGTATTTCAATCTGGGTACTTGTCCTGATAAAATGTTATACAATCAGACATATAAATAATAAAAAAGTAAATACATTTCTTTACTTGCCCATAACACATTATATCTTTGATTATATAAAACATGGGCATTCTCCATTTTATACAAATTTTATGTGATTACAACTTTATTCACATGTCCATAATATAACTTACAACTTGAATCATGCTTAAATTCTCCATTTTATACATTCATGGACTTAAATTTATAGACACAGTAGGGATAGAACATCATCTTTGTTCCAAAAGGAATACTTCCAACTCCAATTTCCTCTTTTTTAGCTTAAGATTTTCCTGCTTTAAAATTAATGCTTTGTACTGGGCCTCAAGAACGTCGTCTTGTGTTGTCTTTCTTTTACTCTTTTTTTTATGATGATTTTCTTCTTTCGGTGTATTGACCACTTCATCATCGATTTCGTGGGTGTTGGCTTCATCTTGCTGCACAGCTTCTTGGAGTTCTTTGAACAGGTCTTCATTCACCTCAATTGTTTCCAATTGAGCAGCTACTTCCGTAAGCTGGTTTGCTTCAGGGCCTTAAAAAAACATCCCCACATATTACGGTCAAAAAAAGTGACCTCTTGTTTACAATTACTTGTCATCAGTTCAAAGGTTCAAAGTAAATCATGACCGAAATGACTGATCTAAATTCACTGAAAGTACTGGCTGTTCAGTTCAAGACAGGTCTCTTTCTAGGAAGCTTTGAGGGAGTCTTGAAGAAATGGTAAGTCTAAAAGCTTTTACTCAAAGCTTCTGCAGTTTTAGGAATATTTGTTATTTTTGTGCTCGCCGTGGGTTGCGTGACAAATAGTGTAACAAATATGATAATCAAAGCTAATAAAGGCAGTGTTCACACTTGGTGCCCGGGCACCGTGCCCGGGTTCTATTCTACGCCGGGCACCAATGTGAACACACCTTTTTTCCTGATACCCACGCCAGAATTCGGGCACGGTGCCGGTGCCCGAGTACAAGGTCTCGACCAAGGTCTTACCAAACATAGTCGAAACGACTGGCTAATCGAAAGGGTGCTCTGTAAGTTGGATAACAGTGCGATTTCAATTGTTGATTATATGTTAAAGAAGATGACATTTCTGTGTCAAGTGTAAATCTCGTCAGCCATTTTTGTCTGAATGAACAAAGATCTTATTTGACTCAGGGATTAATAATATAAAAAGACCTCTGCCGCCCGTTAAATTTCTCTAGTTTATTACACCCATTTTGAAATCACTGGTGGTCCCTGTAATCTGATTGGCCCTAATTGGTGCGATTTATTCACGAATCGCACCATTTTTTGCTTTGAATCGCATCATTTTCCCAGCCAACGAGGAGGCTACACTGAAAACAAAACAACCAATCAGATTTCAAAGCTTATTTAAAGTAACCAATGTAATTGCAGGAAAGTGAAAGACAAAGAGTATCATTAGGGCAAATTTTGCAACTTTTGTTTTCAAAATTCTTGTTTTTCCCCCCCCAAAATGGATGAATTTAATTTCAAACTAGCTTAGTATTGCATCAATAAAATATTTGAACTGACCAAGTCCTGTACTTGGGCGATTTCAAAATGGATGTAATCAAGTGGCAATTGAACATTGTGCCGTGTAATTTTGGTCTGAAATCATATTTGTAATTTCAAATCGAAGTCGCGCTGTGTGCTTGTTCGATTTTGAAATCACACGTATGATTTCAGTCCAAATTGCACTCCACTCAGTTCAATTAACATTATTTATCAGTTGTCACCACATAGATTTTCCTGTTAACTATAGATTCCTCGATGCAGTTGTTGAGATACTAATATTGTTATCTACCGTAAAAGTTTCTGAATAATTTATTTAGTACTTAATCTCTTTAAAAAAAAACACTTCTCGTGGACAAAATATACCCAGTTACAACTGAGTTGAAAGTTAATGCGGTATTGAGCAAAATTTTTTAGAAACTTCTATACACCAGTTATTATGTCAAAAACCGCACTAAAAAAGGCACCAAAAAAATTTGAAAGCAAATAGAACCGCATTAATTTTCAACTCAGTTGTAACTGGACATATTTTGTCTGCGAGAAGTGTTCTATTTACTTTCAAATTTGTGATGTCTAAACTCTGAGCATTTCGTTTCGTTTCCTTCGATGGAAACTATTTTGTTTCATCACTCTATAGCTCGCAGCCATCGCCGATTACCAGTTGTTATCACTTAAATGTTATATTCGACGATAGAAGCCTTGATGCAGTTGTTGACATAATAACTGATGTCTAGAAGTTTCTAAAGCATTTAGTGAGTATCGCATTAATTTTCGACTCAGTTGTAACTGAGAATATTTTGTCTGCGAGAAGTGTTTTTTTCAAAGAGTGTTTTTTTCAACGGTAGATAACAATATTAATATCTCAACAACTACATCGACGAGTCTATTGTTACCATGAAAGTCTATATGATAACAACTGACAAACTAGAAAAATTTAACGGACGGCAGGGTCATTTTTTATTATAACATAGCGCATAAATTTGTCTAATAAAATTTAATTGCGTGAGCGTGTTTCATATTCCTATTGTGCACGCTCATGACGTCGCAAACAAATCCCTCGAGAATTTTGTATTCGATCAGAAAATAAAGTTGAAATCACCTGTCAGTTTTACGACCAATCTAAGAAAAGATCGTTAACAGCGTAGCGAAATGTTTTCCTGAAACAAAATTATCAACGCGCTGAAGGGAAGTTTGGAGAACACTCAAGAAGCTAGAGTTGCTCGAGGCGTAGCCGAGAGCAACTCTTACGCATCTTTCGTGCTTTCCAAACTTCCCGCGTGCTTCACATCTCGATGAACGCATGCCGACGAATGAACCAATTGTTAATTTTAAATCTCTGAATCAAATAAGATCTTTGTTCATTCAGAAAGAAATGGCTGACGAGATTAATACTTGACGCGCAAATGTCATCTTCTTTAACATCTAATGAACAATTGAAATCGTACCGTTATCCAGCTTTCAGTGCATCCTTTCAATTAGCCAGTCGATTCGGCGGCTATGATTGGTAAGATAAATAATAGAAATCTCCAAATTTTATGTAAATTATTCAATATCATCCCCTTGTTGACTTCTGATGAAAACGCCTGCGACACAATTACAAAGCTAAGGAGTACGCACACCTTAGACGAGGTCATCACCAGAAAATCAAAATGAATTTTGCTCTGTGTGCTGAACTTATCGTGTTATTAATGTTCGAAGTCGTATCTTCTCAAACATTTGTTAGTAAGAAAGCATCTCTTTCTTGTCCTGTGATAACTTACAATCATCGCCGACTTAAAGGCTTCACGTTCAAAACAATTCACCTTGCAAGCCTGATATCCTGTGGTTTGCTATGTCAGAGAGACCCTCGATGCGTTTCAACAAATTTCAGAAAAGTTTTCAAAAGTGAAGGAACCTGTGAGTTGAACGACAGAGGAGTTCTCCTTACTGGGAAAGGAAACGAATTGGAATACGACGAAGAAGCAATTTACACTCAATTTTACGACACGAAGGTAACAAAAAAATCTCGATAAAAGACCAAGAAGAAGGTGTTATTGACTCCTCGAGACACTTCTCTTTCATTTGTGGTATCTTTCTCATAAAATCGTCATATTTCGACGACAGATGTGAAAACTTTCCATCTGTCATATTTTTCTTTGAATGTTTTTATCGTTTGGTCCTAAAGTAGTTTGACGTGTATGCGGGTAAAATGGTGATTTTTCATCTTCTTCCTTTAGAGGCGAATAGACTACATTTCATTGAGTGCTGATAATCAAAATGGTCTATGGTCATTCAAAATAAAATAAGCAATTTTTCCAGATAACTGGTAATTTAAATCTCAGTATCATTGGATTCAATGTATGCAAACTGCTCCGAAGCTCAATAAAGTTAAATATTTTTTAAGTTGAAAGTTCTTAAATAAATTGAGGTGGACCGAAAGTAGGTCATACGGATTTAGTACACAAAATTCAGTATAAAATTTAGCTTGAAGCTAAAACTTTCAAGATGTATCTAAAGGCCTTCAATTAGCTCACTTGTGCAGTCTCCATTCGGTGATGAACCCGGAAGACTAAGTGATCTTCCGATAAAATAAAAAATGAATGATTTTTTGTTTTCAGTACCACTGTCAGGCCTTCAAGGAAGATCTAAAAGTCGTCAACTGCAAATGTAAGTAGCGTTGGTTTGAAGGGTATCCTTGAGATTAAAGTCAACGACTTCGTGGTTAAATTACAATGAGTTACTTGTCCCAGCTGCTTCTTGTCTCTCCGCTAATAGGTGCGGAGTCTGCCGTCCTCGCGAACCTTCGCGGACCCTCACAAACATTCCCGAACCTGCTTGAAACATTTCGATTCTTACATTTTCCTTAAAAGTCCTCGAATGTTGTCAAAAAAATTGCCAAGGAAAATGTTGCCTAGTTTACTTCTAAATTAAAGTAAAAATCAAGGCTTTAATTCCCATGAGTGACCAAGACAGAATTTCTCCTTACAATAACCATACAATATCAATCAGACAGGTGATGAGAATAATGAAGAATATAAGTTTGAGGATTTTCTAGTTGATCCAGTACCAAATTCTCAGAACTAGCATCATAAGAGTTGTATAGCAGACAGTAAGGAGAATTACTAATGAGATTTTGGGCACTAAAGGGTAAAGGAAACAAGAACCTACTGAAGAGGCCGAGGACACTCACTGCGTTATTCACAATTTCAAATGCCGATGTGCCTACCAAATACACCGCGAAAACATGATAGCGTTGAGTCATCAATGGGAAGCAATTTAAACAAATCCAGAAAATAGACAAGGCAAACTTCAGGGATCCAAAAACGATTGGATACTCCAAAGGTGCCGCGAATTTTCATTTGTAGTAGAGCTTCGACCATCACTTGTAAGTCGGAGAGATTTAACTCACGTGAAAGTTTTTATCGTTATCAAATTTTTTTATCATAATGCTTGAGATAAAGTGGGAGGGTGAGACTGCACTTACTTTTACATTTCTATTCAAACGTTTTCAAAATCCTCCTTTTATTTCTATTCAACCGTTCTCAAAATCCTCCTTTGTTCTATGATAAACAAATCAATGTCCGTGCGATTGCATTTGTCTGTCTCAATTTCAGGTGCGGAATCACCAAAAGCCCCAGTTCCCCTCGGCATGGAAAGCGGTGCTATTTTTGACTCACAGATCACCGCTTCTTCCGTGTATAATGATAACCTTGCCGCACGGAATGCTAGATTACATTTTAAAGGATCCGAAAACCCGCTTAGACGTGCTGGCTGGGTAGCTGGAGTGAAAAACACTAACCAATGGCTGCAAGTGGATCTTCAGCAAACCACAAGGGTAATAGGCATAGCGACGCAGGGGAGACATGATTTCGATCAGTGGGTTACTAAATACAAGCTGCAATATGGCGATGATGGACAAACTTTCAGAGTTTACAAGCGAAACGGAGACATATCAGACACGGTATGAAAAAATATGCTTAATTGAAAAAACCTTTTTGCGGAGAAAAAGTCCCCCATGAGGAATAGAACCTTTTTGTATTCTGCATTCTAATTTTCTTCCACTGAGCCACAAAGCAGTTACACTAGGCTGGGCCATATACTCTCTGTCATTGAACCAACAGAAAAGCATTCACGAAAGTTATAGGTTAAGAGTAACTCGTACTGTAAAAACGTACGTGCGTACTTACGCTCGTTAATTTTACGCCCAAATATATTCTACTCAGGTTTTTCCAGGAAACAAGGACAGAGACACAGTAGTTTACCACGATCTTAACCCGCTCATTTATGTTCGCTTTGTTCGAGTTCTTCCGATGGAATGGAAAGGGACGATCGCTATGAGGATTGAGCTTTATTCTTGTTAAGGTAACCTACTAGGGTCCAGTTGTGTAGCAATGGGCCGAGATTTTTTTTAAAAACGTATTCTGGGAGACGGAAGGTGTGCGTTGGGTAAGGGTGAGCTGTAATGGACTGACATTACATTTAACCCTTTATCTCCCAAGATCTTCATCCTAATTCTCCCGTCTAGCTGCTACACATTCCTTGCAAATCAGGTACAAGAATTAGGTGTTAGATCAGGATAACAACTTTTACCTGATAAGTGTGAATATTCTCATCACCTGTTTGCAAGATATATGTAGGGATATTTTAGGAAAAAGTTTCATTTTAGTCACTAATGGGAGTTAAAGGTTAAGAGCGCTAGCAGTGCTCAGAAACCAAAGCGAGCCCCGGTTTAAGGCCAGTTGCCCTTTGAGTTTTACACATGTTTGTAATTTGTCATCGATAGAGCTCACGCACTTCACATAACATCCCCAACACCTATATCTTTTTTAACCCTAAGCAAAATACATTTCACCAACATCTGGTGAAAATGTATAATATCTCATACTCTCTTCACCACTTTAACAAAGTAATAAATCTTGTATCGTAGGAAAGTGACACATGTGTGTTCATTAAGGAAAAAGCGACAAGAAGCCTCTGACGAGTTTGCATGCCTTTAAAACGTGTTTAGCAGTTGTAACTGATGAAATTATTTAATAAAGTATGTACCCCTAATTAAATTTGTAAGTAAGCAAATGAACCTTGCGAGTAAATGTGACTCAAATAGTCAGATTTAACGCTCAGGAATTGTTGAGAAATAATCGCACAATAAAGGAAGTTGTTACAACCGTGAAGGTTTCGACTTTTTAGAGCAAAAATGGCTATGAGAGATTATGGAAACAAACCATCACGAAATCATTGAAAGTCCTGGAATTTTTGCAATGGATGAATCTGATATTATAGTTTCTTCATTCATCAAATTGTGACATGTATTTCTAGTAGGATTCGAACCTGCAATTCTTCCTGTATAAGGCGGACGTGATAACTACTCCACTACAGGAACGCGGCTTGTAAGCATGGCTTTGTCCGCCAAGAGCATTTCACTCATGGCGGGATATGACGTAGTCTTTGAAGGTCAAGAAAAGCTCTGAAGGCATTTGCGATATCGGCGCAATTTTGATTTTATTTCTGGTTACTTTTACATTCGCTGAGCTGGGCTACAATTTGGACTAACGTAAACTTTAACGTCATTTTGACAGTGCACGTATTGTATTATCGGAGAGCTCAATTTTAAATTTTGTCTCATTGCTGTTTATTGAATAAAGATTAAACTCACGCATACAACATTTGCAACTGCAGAAGACACGGCCACAGGTGAATGATGGCTTTGTATTGTTATTCTTCCTCGTGAAAAAAAAGTCATACCGACTGTTGCTGTAACATGATTTTATATTCAAGTTAGTTATAAACTCCGTCCTCTTCATATGAATTTCTTTTCGTTATTGAGGTATCAAAGTTCCTCTGTCGTTCATATCACAGATTCCAGTTGCTATTTTGAAACTTGAAATTTTAGGGAAATCGAGAACTTCTTTGACATTGCAAACCGTAGGATGCTAAGCTTACAGAATGAAAGATTTGTAGGTGAATCCTGATAGTCGGCTATTATGTAAGTTATAGCGCTATGAGAGAAAAGAGTTTTCATTTGCGGCAACCCAATGAGATGTGTGTGTTGAATCACTCGTGTTATTAATGTCCGAAGTCGTAGCCTTTCAAGCATTTCTTTGTAAGGAAGCATCTCTTTCTTTTCCTGTGGTAACTCACCATCATCGCCGACTTAAAGGCTTTACGCCCAAAACATTTCATTCGGCAAGCCTGATATCCTGTGGTTTGCAATGTCAGAGAAACCCTCGATGCGTTTCAACAAATTTCAAAAAAGTTTCCGAAACTGAGGGAACGTGTGAGTTAAACGACAGAGGAGTCTTCTCTCCTGAGGAAGGATAAGAACTCGAATATGACGAAGAAGCTATTTACACTCAATTTTTACTCCAAAAAGGTAACAAAAATGTGTCTTATCTATTTTAAGTATTGATCCACTTAAGAAGTGGGCGTCTTCAAAATCGTGATCGCGATCACGGCCCACAAAAACCCAGTGGCGGTCAGTGTTTACATTAAGGAAAATTTCAAAGTATCTCCGATGGAGAAAATATCATCTGTCTCTGAAAATGACTTCTAACAATTATGGCTGAAAGTGTAAAAGTCGCTGCTCAAAGTCATTCCTTATCTGTACAGTTTATCGTCCGCCGAGCACACCATTTAACTTCCTGGATGATATTGCTGAAAATGTCATCAGGAGTATTTTTTACTAGGACTCGATGTCATCATACTGGGTGATCTCAACTGGAACTTCCTTCGAGATAATATGGAGTCTGGCGTCCTCATGGATTTTGTTCGACCTTTAATCTCACACAGCCAATCAACAAACCAACTAGAGTTACAGATAATAGCGAATCCTTGATTGACGTTGTAATGACCACAAACGAAAACCTAGTAGCTTTTAGTGATGTCCTGATGTCAACTATTAGCGATCACAACCTCGTAAATATAACACTGAAGCCAAAAAAGCCAAGAATCAAGCACTCTTACGTAACCATCAGAAGCTACAGAAATTACAAAGTCGACAACTTTCTACATGACCTCTCCCTCACGCCTTTTCATATAATTAGTCTATTTGACGAATTAAACGATCAGGTTGACGCATTCAATGACTTGTTCTTGGAAGTCCTAAATCATCACGCACTGGTCACAATGGTTAAAATTAGATCCAAACCTAATCCATTTATCACACCAGAAATTCGTCAACTGATGAGAACACGCGACCAATGGCGCAACTTGCTTCGAAAACAAAGGATCACCTTCACCGGAATGGTTGCAAATTTTTTCGTTAAGAAGTTAAGAGGGAGATCCGAATAGCTGAAAAAGCTTACTTCAGGGCTCAAATTCTGGAGAGTAAAGGAAATTCTAACTCTATCTGGAAAATCATTCATCGTTGTCTGCTTCGTAAGAATCAAGATGACTGAACGAATTTTTCACTTCTGTTGGTAGCCTGACTGCCGTAAAAGCAAGTGAGTTGACTTCACAAAACGAGTTCAATTCGAATTTCGAAGTGCTACCACCTGCTCTTGTTTCTTCCACAGCAGTCAAAAATAATCCAAAGTTAGGGAGGCCACGCAAAGTCAGGTACAAAATGTGATCAGAATATTACAATACAATACAATACAATACAATACAATACAAACTTTATTGACACTCCCTAAGAGGGCTTTTCAGTGACAATTAATAATTACAATAATAAAAATGTTTAATCTATAAAGCTAAAAATAATTACGAAAATTACAACTAAGAAACTTTAAGAAGGTACGATGAAATGGGTAAGATAAAAACTAAGAAACTTTAAAAAAGGACAATAAAAAATATATGATATGATTAAAAACTAGGACCGAGGAGAAAGAAAAGCAGCAAATAAAAATAAAATTAGAAGAAGAATTACAAAGTTTAAGATCATTATCTAAACTGTTCCACAGGCTGACAGTGCGATAATAAAAAGTTCTTTGTCCAGATTTAGTTTTGTATAATTGTATGTGCAACAGTTGGGAGCTTCTGGTCGTGCGACCGCTAACATTACCGCGCGTTAGAAACTTCGAAGAGAGGTAAGTAGGAGCAGATCCAGTCATACATTTAAAAGCAAGCACGGCGTCACGGAAGTATAGCTGAGATTTAATAGGTAGCCAATGCAGTTCTTTCAAAAGCGGAGTAACGTGGTCAAATTTTCTGGATCCACAAATAATCCGGGCTGCAAAGTTCTGGATCGCTTGGAGCTTGAGGAGGTTAGTGTCAGTAACATTGGACCAGACGGAGGAACAATAAAACAACTTACTAAATACTAAAGTGTTAATTATAGTAATTAAAGTCGATCTATTACCGTCTAACAAGGCTCCAGGAATGGACAAAATATCTTCTAGAATATAAAAAGACATTCAGCCTTTCTTTCACACTTTCGACAATAACTCACATTGTAAACACCTCTTTCACCACCAACACGTTCGCGCGTGCATGAAAAATGGTAGAAATCACACCTAGTCTTAAATGCGGAAACCTTGAAGTTCCCTCCGTCCTTTGTTTTCAAGGTGTCCGACCAGGTATGACTAGAGGTGTGGTGAAGTTGTAAGACCTCATAGCATCCTAGGGACGGACTATTAGATTTTTTTGCAGCGTGGGGGGGGGGGGGGTTGGGGTGTTGGGCAATAACCTTCGAAAAAATCGAGCACAGGCTTAATGGAAGAAAACACATCGTGCAATTGGCAGAAGACCTCCCCCCCCCGCATCAAAAATCTAATGGTCCGTCTCTAAGGTACCTTTTAAATTATTCCAAAATGGATTTCGTTCCGGAACGAAATGAATTTCATACCGCGTTTACATGAAAGATAATTTAGCTTCTAAAAACAAGTATTTACGTCCTTTATCTATGCTTCCCTCGCTCCTAAAGAGGACTCATACAGATATGAGTACCGCGTTTGCTTTGTACAGGTACAAAAGGTCGTCCAAAATAAGTGTTTCGTTCTGGAATGAAAACCTCAATAAACTCATTCAGAAATGACTCGTTTCGAATAATTTTACCCTGGTATCATGTGGCAACCGGGATGAACTCGTTCTTGAACAAAACTCATTCCGATATCATGTAAAAGGCCCCTAATAGTTTTTATTTGCATATTTAAGCAGTCGAACGAAAAAAATCATTTCTCAAAAACTAAAATATATTTTCAGAAAAAAAACATCACAATTACTAAGACATATTGGGCGACAAAATATGAAAGTAGGAGATAAAATGAATTTGGGCGACTTGCCGCTGTTTGTCTGGTACATGTTGACATTAGCTCTTAAATTGAATGGTGCAATCATGGTTTTCAAGTTCATTAATAATCTTGCTCCAGACTACCTTGCAAATAAGTTTAAGCTACGTTCTTGTGTTCATGACTGACAAACTCGATCAGCTAGTACCCTGGATAAACCCTTTTGCTGTCTGTCAACTGGTCAGAGATCTTTTGCTTATAGAGGAGCGAAACTGTGTAACTCATTAAGCAGCAATCTTTAGTGTTTAAAATGTCCCAAGAAATTTACGTTTCAATTTACTTAGCTGTGTTACGAGTGATCGTTAAGTGAAAATGATTGTCTGTAGCTAAACAGAACGCAGGGATGTCGGAACAGCAACAAAGATGATTTATTCCAAATCGTCACAGTAAATATTGATATACGTTCTCTGCCAAACTTCAAATAATCACAACCGCCGTTGAACTCAACCTCAGTCACATTTTTGAGTAACCTCTACCTCTGTCACACTACTTAGCTTGTGAAAAACAAATAATACTTAACAGCATGAGATTCTGAAACTTTCCGGCCAACCTAATTATAGTAGCATTCCAACGTTTTACTATTTACAGCATTTTACACGGACTTGAAAAACTACCGATGCGCAGTGATGCGAAACTGATTAAATATTCAAGAAACTTCTTGGCTTAAATAAGCATACTCACGAAACTTCTGAACAGCCACGCAACAATTTTACGTAGCAAGCTGCTATTAGGTTAATTTCATCATTCAATATTTTTATTCTTTTGATATATATATTTAGCTGTAACTATAGTTTTATATTCTTCAATTTTAGTTTTATTTCTTTTAACCTTTATATTGTTGCTGAAAAAATCATTCAGGGAGCTTCAATAAAGGTCTGTATCTGAATCTGTAATTTCAGTCTTCTATTTTGCGCAGACATCTAAAGGGTGGATTGCGCAGGAATATTGCTAATGAGTACAAGTGCACCTGTTCCGATGGATACACCGGCAGCCATTGTGAACAAGGGGGGTGGACGGCTTTTTTAGACTTAAGCACATAAGATGTTTATTTTGTTTTTATCCATCCTCATGAAATGAAATAGCACGCACTTTTACAGTAATACCACAATGCTCTCTGATATGCAGATGTTGTTGGTACTTTGCTGATAGGTCTAATCTTTTCAGTGTGTTAGTTCTCAGCACGAGCTGCCGTGCTATGTTTCAACTCCTTGACAGCCTACATACTGTGAATGAAAATAACAACATTGTTTGTATAAGCTATCTAAAATTAGTTCACTTTCCGGCCTGGGTAGACTTTAAATTTTAAATACGAATGTATCACACAAACGAAGGCGACTTCACTGAAACCTAACCTAACTTCTTTGACATTGCAATCCGTAGGATGCTAAGCTTACAGAATAAAAGATCTAAAGGTGAATCCTGATAGTCGGTTATTATGCATGTATATGTATAGCGATATGAAAGAAAAGAGTTTTCATATGCGGCAACCCAATAAGATGTCAAGAGTTTAGAAAGATCAGCCGCCTATCTATGCAGAATATGACTGGAAGTCGAATCGCATTTATCCCCAACTCAAGTGTAACTGGCTATGAGTAGTTTACTACAAAGTGTGTTTTATTTATGAGAATAAGTGTTGGTTACGAAGAGAGTTTTTCTTTTAAGAAAATAGGCGCTGAATAAATTATAAAGAAACTTCGGGATCTCCATTACTATTTCAAAAACGGCATTGAAGCTTCTATAGTTCACAATAACATTTTAATAATAACAATCGATAATCTGAATCTGAAATTTTAACTAAGTATCAATTATTAACTTCACAGCGGCAATGAGGCTTCTAGAGTTGACAAGAAAATTTAAATCAAACAACTGATGAACTAGATTTGAATTTCAACAGAACTCATAATTCACCATTTTTTTGTTTTTATTTTTCTTTCCTTGAATAAGATGATATATTTCAGTGTTTATTCAGACAGAAATAACTGACAAAACTAACACTTCGCAAGGACAAATATGTCTAACATATAATGAACGATTAGAATATTAATTATTCTAGAAATGAGAGAGATGGTAAGTTTTGAGCTCGGTAAAGACATAGAGAAAGATGTTTTTTCGTCATGTCACGAGCGTGGGACAAAGAAAAAAAAGAAAAAATTCTGAGTTCCCATAAGGAGTCAAACCTCAGACCTTCGGATTAGGCGCTCTGATGCTCGAAATTTTACCATCTCTCTTATTTATATCAACTAACATTACGCTTTAAACATTGCTGACCTCAGCAGTATGTAGGACGCGTGTCATATGAATGTCGTAATAGACTTCGCTCACCGTGGAGTCTCTGTTGTTCAGTGGTTAGAGCATCGGAGCGCGGAATCCAAAGGTCTGAGGTTCGATTCCTCATTGGTACTCAGAATTTTTTGTTTGTCCCACGCTAGTAACAAGAAGAAAAACATCTTTCTATATTAATTATTCTGTTATTCAGCTCTCAAAGCATCCTTTCCACTTGACTATAAATGGAAAAAAATTTTTATAAACGTCTCTGAACTCTTTTTATATTAATTGAGATATTTTCGAATCTTTTACAAAACTGCGTGTACGCACCGAAGGCAAAGTCTCGACCGAAATAATAATAATAATAATAATAATAATAATAATAATAATTTATTACTTATATAGCGCAAAATACATGTGGATATGATATAAAGCGCTATTTATCTAATGCGCTAAGAAAAAAAAACCAAATGAATTTTTTCTGTGACTTAAGGTTTCACGCGCAAAATATTTCATCTGGCAAGCCTAATATCCTGTGGTTTGCCAGAGAGACCCTATTTTTCATTCCTTGAATAAGATATATTTCAGTGTTTATTCAGACAGAAATGGCTGACGTAATTAACACTTCGCACGGACAAATATGTCTCTTTAACATTTAATGAACGATTACAATATGAATCATTCTGTTATTCAGCTCTCAGAGCATCCTTTTCACTTGACTATAATTGGAAAAAAAAATTTTATAAACGTCTCTGAACTCTTTTTATATTAATTGAGATATTTTCGAAGCTTTTACCAAACTGCGTGTACGCACCGAAGGCAAAGTCTCGACCGAAATAATAATAATAATAATTTATATAGCGCAAAATACATGTGGATATGATCTAAAGCGCTGTTTATCTAATGCGCTAAGAAAAAAAAAAACAAATGAATTTTTTCTGTGACTTAAGGTTTCACGCTCAAAATATTTCATCTGGCAAGCCTGATATCCTGTGGTTTGCCAGAGAGACCCTCGATGCGTTTCAGTCTATTACTCTTATTTATGAGAATATGTGTTGGTTACGAAGAGAGTTTTTTTTTTAAAGACAATAGGTGCCGATTAAATTATGAAGAAACTGCCGGATACCAATTACCATTTTAACAACAGCATTGATGCTTCTATAGTTCACAACAACATTTGAATGATAACAATTGATAAAGTGGATCTGATATTTTAACTAAGTATCAATTATTAACTTCACAAAGACAATGAGGCTTCTTGAGTTGACCAGAAAATTTAAATGACAACAACTGATAAACTAGCTAGATTTGTTTTTAAGGGAAGGCGAAATTCACATTTTTTTTTGTTTTTGGTTTTATTTTTCATTCCTTGAATAAGATATATTTCAGTGTTTATTCAGACAGAAATGGCTGACGTAATAAACACTTCGCACGGACAAATATGTCTCTTTAACATTTAATGAACGATTACAATATTAATCATTCTTTTATTCAGCTCTCAGAGCATCCTTTCCACTTGACTACGATTGGAAAGAAAAATATTAAATAAACGTCTCTGAACTCCTTTTAAATTAATTAAAATATTTTCGAAGCTTTTACAAAGCTGCGTGTACACACTGAAGGCAAAGTCTCGACCGGGAAAAAAAACGAGATGAATTTTTTTCTGCGTGGTGTTCTAGTTGGGTTATTAATATCTGAAATCGAAGTATCTCAGGCAATTCTTTGTAAGGAAGCGTCTCTTTCTTGTCCTGTGATAACTCGCAATCATCGCCGACTTAAAGGCTTCAAGTTCAAAACATTTCACCTTGCGAGCCTGATATCCTGTGGTTTGCTATGTCAGAGAGACCCTCGATGCGTTTCAACAAATTTCAGAAAAGTTTTCAAAAGTGAGGGAACCTGTGAGTTGAACGACAGAGGAGCTCTCCTAACTGAGAAAGGAAACGAATTGGAATACGACGAAGAAGCAATTTACACCCAATTTTACGACACGAAGGTAACAAAAAAAATCTCGATAAAAGACCAAGAAGAAGGTGTTATTGATTCCGCGAGACACTTGTCTTTCGTTCGTGGTATCTTTCTCATAAAATCTTCATATTTCGACGACAGATGTGAAAACTTTCCATCTGTCATATTTTTCTTTGATTGTTTTTATCGTTTGTTCCTAAAGTAATTTGACGTGTATGCGGGTAAAATGGTGGTTTTTCATCTTTTTCTTTTAAATTCGAATGGACCACATTTCACTGAGTGCTGATAATCAAAATGTTGTACTATCGTTTAAAAAAAAAATGAGAAATTTTTCCTAAGTGGGAATTTAAATCTCGGTATCAATGGAGACAATATATGCAAACTGCTCCGAAACTCAATAAAGTTTAATATATTTCAAGTTGAAAGTTCTTAAATAAATTCAGGTGGACCGAATTCAGAATAAAATTTTTAGCTTGAAGCTAAAACTTTCAAGATGTATCTAAAGGCCTTCAATTAGCTCACTTGTGCAGTCTCCATACAGTGATGAACCCGGAAGACTAATTGATTTCCCGATGAAATAAAAAATGAATGATTTTTTTTGTTTTCAGCTCCACGGTCAGGTCTTCAAGGAAGATTTAAAAGTCGTCAACTGCAAATGTAAGTAGCATTGGTTTGAAAGGTATTCTTGAGATTAAAGTCAACGACTTCGTGTTTAAATTACAATGAGTTACTTGTCCCGGCTGCTTCTTGTCTCTCCGCCAATAGGTGCGGAGTCTGTCGTCCTCGCGAACCTTCGCGGACCCTCACAAACATTCCCGAACCTGCTTGAAACATTTCGATTCTTACAGTTTCCTTGAAAGTCCACGAACGCTGTCAAAAAAATTGCTAAGGAAACTGTTGTCTAGGTTACTTCTAAATCAAAGTGGAAATCAAGCCTTTAATTCCCATGAGTGACCAAGACAGAATTTCTCCTTACAATAACCATACAATATCAATCAGACAGGTGATGAGAATAATGAAAGATAAGTTTGAGGATTTTCTAGTTGATCCAGTACCAAATTCTCAGAACTAGCATCATAAGAGTTGTATAGCAGACAGTAAGGAGAATTAATAATGAGATCTTAAAACTGAAGGATTAGGGAAACAAGAAACTGCTGAAGAAGCCGAGGACCCTCACTTCGTTATTCACAACTTCGAATGCTGGTGTGCCGCCTACAAAATGCATCGCGAAAACACGATAGCGTTGAGTCATCAATATGGGAAGCAATTTAAAAATATCCAGCAATTAGACAAGATAGACTCCAGTGAATCAAAAACCTCTGAATATTCCAAGGGTGCCGTAGTAAATTTTAACCGTTTTGGGTACGAATTTTCATTTGTAAGAGAGCTTTGACCATCACTTGTAAGTCGGAGAGATTTTACTCACGCGAAAGTTTTTATCTTTATCAAACTTTTTTTTTATTATAATGCTTGAGATAAAGTAGAAAGGTGAAACTGCACTTACTTTTGCATTTCTATTCAACCGTTTTCAAAATCATCCTTTATTCCATGATATACAAATCAAAGTCTGTGCGATTGCATTTGTCTGTCTCAATTTCAGGTGCGGAATCACCAAAAGCCCCAGTCCCCCTTGGCATGGAAAGCGGTGCTATTTTTGACTCACAGATCACCGCTTCCTCCATATATACTGATAACTTTGCCGCATCGAATGCTAGATTACATTTCAGAGGATCCAAAAACCCGCTTAGATATGCTGGCTGGGTACCTAAAGTGAAAAACACTAACCAATGGCTGCAGGTGGATCTTCAGCAAACCACAAGGGTAATAGGCATAGCGACGCAAGGGAGACATGAATTCGACCAGTGGGTTACCGAATACAAGTTACAATATGGCGATGATGGACTATCTTTCAGAGTTTACCAGCGAAACGGATACATATCAGACACGGTATGAAAAAATATGCTTAATTGGACAAACCTTTTTGCGGAGAAAAAGTCCCCATGAGGAATAGAACCTTTTTGTATTCTGCACTCTAATTCTCTTCCACTGAGCCACAAAGCAGTTACACTAGGCTGGGCTATATACTCTCTGTCATTGAACCTATAGAAAAGCATTTACGAAAGTTATAAGTTAAGAGTAACTCGTGCTGTAAAAAAAAAAAAAAAAACTTACGCTCGTTAATTTTACGCCCAAATATATTCTGCTCAGGTTTTCCCTGGAAACAAGGACAGAGACACAGTAGTTTACCACGATCTTAACCCGCTCATTTATGTTCGCTATGTTCGAGTTCTTCCGATGTTATGGAAAGGGACGATCGCTATGAGGATCGAGCTTTATTCTTGTTAAGGTAACCTACTGGTCCACTTGTGTAGCAATAGCCAAGATTTTTGTGAAAAACGTATTCTGGGAGACGGAAGGTGTGCGTTGGATAAGGGTGAGCTTTAATAGACTGACATTACATTTAACCCTTTAGCTCCCAAGATCTTCATTCTAATTCTCCCGTCTAACTGCTACACATTCCTTGCAAATCAGGTACAAGAATTAGATGTTAGATCAGGATAACAACTTTTACCTGATAAGTTTGAATATTCTCATCACCTGTTTGCAAGATATATGTATGGGTATTTTAGGAAAGTTTCATGTTAATCACTTCTGGGAGTTAAAGGGTTAAGAGCGCTAGCAGTGCTCAGAAACCAAAGCGAGCCCCGGTTTAAGGCCAGTTTCCCTTTGAGTTTTACACATGTTTGTAATTTGTCATCGAAAGAGCTCACGCACTTCACATAACATCTCTAACCCCTATGTTTGTTTACTAAAATACATTTTTTGTTTTTGATAGAGAACCAGATACTCTTCATTTGTTTAAAACTTGTTTAAAAGCAAAAGAGTCTCAACTGAAGGGAAGAATTCACCTTTTTGGCGTTATAGTGCTCTTGTAGTGTCACGTGACTTCTGATGTAAACAAACCGCGAAAGTTTAGACTTTGAGTCAACCATCCACGGCTTGAGTGCGAACTTCGGCTTCGGCATTTTGTCGTGAATAGTTTCCCTCTGTCGCGCCATGGAATAACAGAATCATGTTTCATATCGTATTGCGTGGAATGTTTTATGTAACGCAAAGGGGAAATCCTGCCAAATCCAGCTCAATCCTCAAGAGCAGTTGTAGCTTAGAATAGGAGATCCCAAAATTTGAGACGGTTTCAACGCTATAAATGGGGTAGAACCTTAAAATATCATCGGAGACGGGGCATTTCAGTGAGCAGATATTTCAAAACTTTATGTGTGGATATCGCCTCCACAATCGAAAACATGGATCTATCACTGTGTCCAAATTTAGAAAAAGACGACGCCACTACTCCAGGCAAATTAATAATTCATGATATGTTTATTCTCGATCTAGTTTTTTTGAAGACTGTGAACAATTTTAACGCTTCGCGGCCGTTTGGATTGTAGGACATTTCTAATCATTTGATTTACAACTCCACCGAGTCAGGCAAGGACTCGCCGCTTATAAATCATTTGAAGATTATCGCCTATTCGATGATCGTTTGTTACGTATCGTAAGCATCAGAAGTCTCGTGACACTGCACGTGAAATCTAACACCGAAAAGGTGAATCATCAATCAGACCCTGGAAGTCTGACGGTTAAGGCAGGGGAATCGAGAAAAAGGACCAGAAACTATCTTAACATGCTTTTTAATGCTGTTTTTGTTTCCTTATTTTTCATATAGAATAACAGCTGTTTGTGGATTACAAAGTACAACAGCAGTTTGATTCGCTGGCTAATTAATTATTGGTCGTTTTAGCTTAATAGTCGTTATAATTCGTAATGTCAGGGATATGCACCAATGGCAGCACATTAAAACGCACCTGTAAAAACGAACTAGCGAACGTGCTCTTTTGGAGACTCGTGTTCAATCAACCTCAGTGCCTAACGAGAACCGATTGTGAAAACAAACCAATCTCTCGTGAAAATGTATAATATATCATACTCTCTTCACCACTTTAACAAAGTGATAAATATTGTATCGCAGGAAAGTGACACATGTGTTCATTAACGAAAAAAGTGACAAGAAACCTCTGACGAGTTTGCATGCAGTTAAAACGTGTTTAGCAGTTGTAACTGATGAAATTATTTAATAAACTATGTACCTCTAGTTAAATTTGTAAGTCAGCAAATGAACCTTGCGAGTAAATGTGATTCGAATAGTCAGATTTAACGCTCAGAAATTGTTGAGAAATAATCGCACAATAAAGGAAGTTGTTACAACCGTGAAGGTTTCGACTTTTTAGAGCAAAAATGGCTATGAGAGATTTATGGAAACACATAAAGCCATCACGAAATCATTGAAAGTCCTAGAATTTTTGCAATGGATGAATCTGATATTATAGTTTCTTCATTAATCAAATTGTGACATGTGTTTCTAGTAGGATTCGAACCTGCAATTCTTCGTGTATAAGGTGGACGTGATAACCACTCCACTACAGGAAAGGGGCTTGTAAGCATGGCTTTGCCCGCCAAGAGCATATCGGCGCAATTTTGATTTTATTTCTGGTTACTTTTACATTCGCTGAGCCGGGTTACAATTTTGACTAACTTAAGCTTTAATGTCATTTTGACAGTGCACGTGTTGTATTATCAGAGAGCTCAATTTTAAATTTTTTTTCGTTGCTGTTTATTGAATAAAGATTAAACTCACGCATACAACATTTGCAACTGCAGAAGACATGGCCACAGGTAAATGATGGCTTTGCATTGTTATTTTTCCTCGTGAAAAAACAATCATACCGACTGTTGCTGTAACATGATTTTATATTCAAATTAGTTATAAACTGCGTCCTCTTCATATGAATTTCTTTTCGTTATTTAGGTATCAAAGTTCCTCTGTCGTTCATATCGCAGATTCCTGTTGCTATTTTAAAACTTGACATTTTAGGGAAATCGAGAACTTCTTTGACACTGCAAACCGTAGGATGCTAAGCTTACAGAATGAAAGATTGAAGGTGAATCCTGATAGTCGGCTATTATGTAAGTTATAGCGCTATGAGAGGATAGAGTTTTCATTTGCGGCAGCCCAATGAGATGTCGAGAGTTAAGAGAGATGAGCCGCTCATTTTTGCATATGACTGGAAGTAGAATCGCATTATCCTCAACTCAGTTGTAACTGGCTATGTGTAGTTTACTACAAAGTGTGTTTTATTTAAGAGAATAAGTGTTAGTTACGAAGAGAGTTTTTCTTTTAAGATAATAAGTGCTGAATAAATTATAGAGAAACTTCTGGATACCAATTACTATTTCAACAGCTGCACTGAAGCTTCTATAGTTCACAACAACATTTGAATGATAACAATTTATAAAGCGGATTTGAAATTTATTATCTTCGCAACGGTAATGAGGCTTCTAGCGTTGACCAGGATATTTAAATGACAACAACTGATAAACTAGATTTTAATTTTAAGGAAAGGCAAAATTCACGGTTTTGTTTAGTCTTTAGTTTTCATTCCTTGAATCAAATGATATATTTCAATGTTTATTCAGACAGATATGGTTGACGTAATTAACACTTGGCACAGACAAATACTTTCAAATCAAACTCGCGCTGCGCGCTCGTTCAATTTTGGAATCACGCGTATGATTTCAGCCCAAATTGCACTCCACTCAATTCAATTACCATTATTAATTATTCTGTTATTCAGCTCTCAGAGCATCCTTTCAATTAGCCCGTCTATTTGACCATAATTGGACAGAAAAGAAATATATCTGGAAAGAAATTATTAAATAAACATCTACGAACTCCTTTTACGTTAATTACATGGGGGGACGCAAGCGGCCTCAACTGTAAGTACTTTTTAGAAATGCTAGGATATTATCCTGGCATTCCTAACATTCCGAGCTGCGCGAGAGTGTCAAAATCCGTGCGCATGTCACAGAAATGTCACTAGACCTAAAGTACGCTAGATAGGAGGGCGAATAAATCGTGTGGATATATTTCTCTCTATAATCCACAATGTAACGCAAAGGAACCGGCCGAGGATTAAAGGCACTATTGATTGCGTGTGAAACAAAAGTATTAGCTGATGACATTTTGATATCAGGCATTAATTAATTTATCTTCTCGTATTTATTCGCCCTCATCTGACGTACTTTAGGTCTAGTGACATTTCTGACATACGCACGGATTTTGACACTCTCGCGAAGCTCGGAATGTTAGGAATGCTAAATTAATATCCTAGCATTTCTAAAAAGTACTTACAGTTGAGGCCGCTTGCGTCCCCTCATGATCTTCCCGAAGCTGTTATAAAGCTGATTATACGAACCTAAGGCAAAGTGTCGACCAAGAAAACAAAACGAAATGAATTTTTATCTGTGTGCTGTTCTAGTTGTGTTATTAATGCCCAAAGTCGTAGCATCTCAAGCATTTCTTTGTAAGGAAGCGTCTCTTTCTTGTCCTGTGATAACTCACAATCATCGCGTCACGCTTAAAACATTTCACCTTGCAAGCTTGGTATCCTGTGGTTTGCTATGTAAGAGAGACCCTCGATGCGTTTCAACAAATTTCAGAAAAGTTTCCAAAACCAAGGGAACCTGCGAGTTAAACGATCGAGGATTCTTCCCTCTTGACGAAGGAAAAGAACTGGAATGTGATAAAGAAGCTATTTACACTCAATTTTAAGTCAAAAAGGTAACAAAAATTTCTCTTATCTAGTTTAGTAATGAGCCACATAAGAAGTGGGCATATTCAAAAAGTGTGCATCTGTTTATCCACAGGAAAGCATCTAAATAAAGGACGGAAAAGCTACGATCTTTGCTTTATCACGAGATGAGGACTAAGCTTACTGATGAATTCTCTGTTGGGCGGTAGTGGAATATCAGAACACGAAATCCTCTGACTTGAGATTTTATTTTATTCGATTTTATTTGTGACATCTTTCTGGTAAAATAATTATCTTTCCCACGTTAGAAGTACAAATTTACCATCTTTCTTATCTGTCTTGGCAATGTGCCTATCCCTTTATCCTTGTCAAGTTAGACTATGGTGCAACGTCGAGTTTTCATCAGTCTATTGATAATCGCGAGTGAAGAATAGGTAGCGGCGTTACTGCGAATATCGACTTATAAAACGAATGGGCTATTTTCCAAATTTTCAGTATCTTTGGAGAAATGATACTTGCAAAGTCCTCCAAAGAACAATGCAGTTAAAGTTAATTGAGTTGAGTCTTCTTAAATAATTTTGTGGACAGAAAGAAGGTAGCATTCATGATTTGAGCCAAAAACTGAAGTTTTTAGCTTTATGTTAATAATTTAAAGATGAGTCGCTATTTGATGATTAACTAGGATGACTAGTTGATTTCGTCAATACGTATGGAGTCTCGTTAACAATTGCAGACGCCGGCTTAAACAAATTCGTGACAGCCTCCTTTTTCGTCTTTGCAATTATCCGGGCTGCTAAGCCTGCGCCCACTTGCCCTGGGTGGTTGTTTTATTAACTGAGTTAATAACGTAAATTGGCCACCATAAAGAGTTTCAAAGGTGACGTTTCAAGCGTTAGCACTTCGTCTCTCGCTCTGACGAAGGGCTAACGCTTGAATGTCACCTTTGAAACTCTTACTGGTTAAGAATATATGAAGGTCATATATTTGAACTGCGGATAAAGACATGAATGAAAGTGATCTTCGCAGTGATGTGCACCACTTAGGCAGTAGTGAAAATAAGGCCTGAAAAAAAATTCAGGCCTGTACGGGATTTTTGCAAATTTACGTTATCGACTCAGTTGATAAAACCTTATTACCTTAACATTTATTTGATCAGAAAAATTCGCCAAGCTTTGTTATTATATCGCTTACAGTACCCGTGGGCAGTATGAAATGAACCCTGTTCTCTGATTGGCTACCTAAGCGGGCAAGATGGTCCATCACAGTCTTGGCGATATAGTGGCAAAAAACTCGGCAGAGGGAGGTTAAAACAAAGAAAACATAAACAACTCAATCGGGTTTGCTCTACTACAAACACAGTTGGCTTTCTCGTCCGGCTCTTTACAAAAAAAAAACACAAGTCAATCTTGATTCGTAAGACAGCGAAACCTTTTTATGACAAATTCTTAATTGACCAAGCTTGTTCAGTCAAGATGGCTGGATATTAGCCTCGTTCTTTTTTCCTGCTTTTACGGACCTCGACTTCGTTTCGGTTCATAAAAAGGTAAAAACGGAACTCGGATAATATCCCGTCATCTTGACCTCACGTTTGGTCAATAACGCATGTATATTTGAACCCTGTAGGAAGACCAACATATTGGTCAAACGGCTGCGCATGCGCGCTTAATTTAAAGCAACTTAAATAAATTGCCATTGTAGATACGGAGAGGCCTAAGTGCGGCATATTTTTTTGTGCATTTTTTTAAAGAAAGTCCGAACTTCTTAAGACTAAGACTTATATACGTTGTTGTTTTATACTCTCCCCACTTTGTGCTAGTTTACACACTTATTTATTAATTATTTTTTTTACACTTTCCACGGTGGCGCAATAAAGTCGCTCGTAAGCTTGGTCGTGCTGGCGGTAGTAGTTTTTCCATGGTGGAATTGCCGGTAAACATCGAGGGAAATGCGTTAGAAAGGAAAGAACCAGAGCTACAAAAGATACTTATGAGGATAGCAGGTCTATAGTTTTCGCTCACAGTAGACTGGGAAGAACTGCAGGGTTAGAGAAAGGTTCTGTCATTTGCCTTCATAACCGAAAAGAAGCGTCTGTGTCAAAAACTGTTGGGATATGTCATAATAAAAAACAAAATAAAACAAAAACAACAAGATTTTGACTCCAAAATTCTTCCTATGTATTGGGCATATTTTGTCTGCGAAGTGTACTATTTGCTTTCAAATATGTGATGTCTAAACTATGAGCATTTCGTTTCGTTTCCTTCGATGAAAACTATTTTGTTTCATCACGCTATAGCTTGCAGCCATCGCTGATTATAAATTGTTATCACTTAAATGTTATTTTGCTTTGATGCAGTTGAAGACATAATAACTGGTGTCTAGAAGTTTCTAAAAAATTTAGTGAGTACCACTTTAATTTTCAACTCAGTTGTAACTGAGTATATTTTGTCTGCGAGAAGTGTTTTTCTAAAGAGTGTCTTTTTAAAGAGGTTAAGTACTTCATAAATTATTCAGAAACTTCTACGGTAGATAACAATATTAATATCTCAACAACTACTTCCACGAGTCTATAGCTAACAGGAAAGTCTATATGATAACAACTGATAAACTAGAAAAATTTAATGGACGGTAGGGTCAATTTTTTATTTTAAATCTCTGAATCAAATAAGATCTTTGTTCATTCAGAAAGAAATGGCTGACGAGATTAATATTTGTCGCGGAAATGTCATCTTCTTTAACATCCAATTAGCAATTGAAATCGCACTGTTGTCCAGCTTTCAGTGCATCCTTTCAATTAGCCAGTCGATTCGGCGGCTATGATTGGTAAGATGAATAATAAAAATCTCCAAATTTTATGTAAATCGTTCATATATCATCCCCTGGTTGACTTCTGATGAAAACGCCTGCGACACAATTACAAAGCTGAGGAGTACGCATACCTTAGACGAGGTCATCACCAGAAAATCAAAATGAATTTTACTCTGTGTGCTGGACTTATCGTTTTCTTAATGTCTGAAGTCGTAGCATCTCAAGCACTTCTCTGTAAGGAAGCATCTCTTTCTTGTCCTGTGATAACTTACAATTATCGCCGACTTAAAGGCTTCACGTTCAAAACAATTCACTTTGCAAGCCTTGTATCCTGTGGTTTGCTATGTCAGAGAAACCCTCGATGCGTTTCAACAAATTTCAGAAAAGTTTCAAAAGTGAGGGAACCTGTGAGTTGAACGACAGAGGAGCTCTCCTTGCTGAGAAAGGAAACGAACTGGAATACGACGAAGAAGCAATTTACACCCAATTTTACGACACGAAGGTAAAAAAAAGTCTCGATAAAAGACAAAGAAGGTGTTATTGACTCCTCGAGACACTTGTCTTTCATTCGTGGTATCTTTCTCATAAAATCTTCATATTTCAACGACAGATGTGAAAACTTTCCATCTGTCATATTTTTCTTTGAATGTTTTTATCGTTTGGTTTTAAAATAGTTTGACGTGTATGCGGGTAAAATGGTGGTTTTTCATCTTTTTTTTAAAGGCGAATAGACTACATTTCATTGAGTGCTGATAATCAATATGTTCGACGGTCATTCAAAGTAAAATGAGCAGTTTTTCCAGATAACTGGTTAAATCTCAGTAGTATTGGAGTCAATGTATGCAAACTGCTCCGAAGCTCAATAAAGTTAAATATACTTTAAGTTGAAAGTTCTTAAATAAATTTAGGTGAACCAAAAGTAGGTCATACGGATTTAGTATACAAAATCTAGTATAAAATTTAGCTTGAAGCTAATACTTTCAAGATGAATCTAAAAGCCTTTAAATAGCTCACTAGTGCAGTCTCCATAGGGTGACGAACCTGGAGGACGTATTGATTACCCAATAAAATGAAAAATGAATGATTTCTTATGTTTTCAGCACAACTGTCAGGCCTTCAAGAAAGATTTAAAAGTCGTCAACTGCAAATGTAAGTAGCGTTGGTTTGAAAGATATTCTTGAGATTAATATCAACGACCTCGTGTTTAAATTACAATGAGTTGCTTGTCCTGGCTGCTTCTTGTCTCTCTGCCAATAGGTGCGGAGTCTACCGTCCTCGCGAACCTTCGCAGACCTTCGCAAACATTCCCGAACTTGCTTGAAAAATTCTGATTCTTACAGCTTCCTTGAAAGTCCTCGAATGCTGTCAAAACAAATTGCCAAGGATAATTTTTAAATTGGTTACATTTAAATCAAAGTAGAAATCAAGCCTTAAATTCCCACGAGTGACCAAGACAGAATTTCTCCTTACAATAACCATACAATATCAATCAGATAGGTGATGAGAATAATGAAATAAGTTTGAGTTTTTTTTAGTTGATCCAGCACCAAATTCTCAGAACTAGCATCATAGGAGTTGTAGGGCAGACAGTAAGGAGAATTAATAATGAGATCTTGGGCACTAAAGGGTTAAGGAAACAAAAACTGCTGAAGAAGCCGAGGACACTCACTGAGTTATTCACAATTTCAAATGCTGGTGTGCCGCCTACAAAATGCATCGCGAAAACATGATAGCGTTGAGTCATCAATATGGGGAGCAATTTGAACATATCCAGAAAGTAGACAAAGTAAACTTCAGGGATCCAAAAACGATTGGATACTCCAAAGGTGCCGCAGTAAATTTTAACCGTTTTGGGTACGAATTTTCATTTGTAGTAGAGCTTCGACCATCACTTGTAAGTCTGAGAGATTTAACTCACCTGAAAGTTTTTTATTATAATGCTTGAGATAAAGTGGAAAGGTGAAACTGCACTTACTTTTACATTTCAATTCAAACGTTTTCAAAATCCTCCTTTATTTCCATTCAACCGTTTTCAAAATCCTCCTTTATTCTATGATAAACAAATCAATGTCTGTGCGATTGCATTTGTCTGTCTCAATTTCAGGTGCGGAATCACCAAAAGCCCCAGTTCCCCTCGGCATGGAAAGCGGTGCTATTTTTGACTCACAGATCACCGCTTCCTCCGTGTATAATGATAACCTTGCCGCATCGAATGCTAGATTGCATTGCAAAGGATCCCAAAACCCGCTTAGACGTGCTGGCTGGGTAGCTGGAGTGAAAAACATCAACCAATGGCTGCAAGTGGATCTTCAGCATATCACAAGGGTAATAGGCATAGCGACGCAGAGGAGACATGATTTCGATCAGTGGGTTACTAAATACAAGCTACAATATGGCGATAATGGACAAACTTTCAGAGTTTACAAGCGAAACGGAGACATATCAGACACGGTATGAAAAAGTATGCTTAATTGAACAAACCTTTTTGCGGAGAAAAAATCCCCATGAGGAATAGAATCTTTTTGTATTCTGCATTCTGATTCTCTTCCACTGAGCCACAAAGCAGTTACGCTAGGCTGGGCCAGATACTCTCTGTCATTGAACCTACAGAAAAGCATTCACGAAAGTTATAGGTTAAGAGTAACTCGTATTGTAAAATAAAACTTACGCTTGTTAATTTTACGCCCAAATATATTCTACTCAGGTTTTCCCAGGAAACAAGGACAAAGACACAGTAGTTTACCACGATCTTAACCCGCTCATTTATGTTCGCTATGTTCGAGTTCTTCCGATGGCATGGAAAGGGACGATCGCCATGAGGATCGAGCTTTATTCTTGTTAAGGTAACCTACTGGTCCAGTTGTGTAGCAATGGGCCGAGATTTTTTTGAAAAACGTATTCTGGGAGACGGAAGGTGTGCGTTGGGTAAGGGTGAGCTGTAATGGACTGACATTACATTTAACCCTTTAGCTCCCAAGATCTTCATCCTAATTCTCCCGTCTAGCTGCTACACATTCCTTGCAAATCAGGTGCAAGAATTAGATTTTAGATCAGGATAACAACTGTTACCTGATAAGTTTGAATATTCTCATCACCTGTTTGCAAGATATATGTATGGATATTTTAGGAAAAAGTTTCATTGTAGTCACTTATGGGAGTTAAAGGTTAAGAGCGCTAGCAGTGCTCAGAAACCAAAGCGAGCCCCGGTTTAAGTTCAGTTGCCCTTTGAGTTTTACACATGTTTGTAATTTGTCATCGATAGAGCTCACGCACTTCACATAACATCCCCAACAGCTATATCTTTTTTACTAAAATACATTATTTGTTTTTGATAGAAAACCAAATTCTCTTTATTTGTTTAAAAGTGAAAGAGTCACAACTGAAGGGAAGAATTCACCTTTTCGGCGTTAGATTGCGCTTGTAGTGTCACGTGACCTCTGATGTAAACAAACCGCGAAAGTTTGGACTTTAAGTCAACCACCCACGGCGCGAGTCCGAACTTCGGCTTCGGCATTTTGTCGTGAATAGTTTCCCTCTGTCGCGCCATGGAATAATAAAAAACATTCTCTGTACTGTGATTTATCTTCTCAGGTATTTTCAGGGCGTTGAGTGCGTTGACTGTTAACTGAAACTACGTCTGATAGGAGACTATTGCCCACGAATCGCTGTAGAACGTGATCAAGCCTGGATTCCCACGCAGAATCTCGTTTCATATCGTATTGCGTGGAATGTTTTATGCACGCAAAGGGGAAATCCTGCCAAATCCAGCTCAATCTTTAAGAGTAGTTGTAGCTTTGAATAGCAGATCACAAAATTTGAGACGGGTTCAACGCTATGAATGGGGTAGAAACTGAAAATATCTGCAGAAACGGGGCATTTCAGTGAGCAGATATTTCACAACTTTTTGTGTGGAAATCACCTCCGCAGTCGAAAAAAAGGGTTCTATTAGTGTGTCCAAATTTCGAAAAAGACGGCGCCACTACTTCAGGAAAATCAATAATTCATGATATGTTTATTCTCAATCTAGTTTTTTTGAAGACTGTGAACAATTTTAACGCTTCGCGGCCGTTTGGATAGTAGGATATTTTTAATCATTTGATTTACTACTCCACCGCGTCAGGCATGGACTCGCCGCTTATAAATCATTTGAAGATTATCGCCTATTCGATGATCGTTTGTTACGTATCGTAAGCATCAGAAGTCTCGTGACACTACACGTGAAATCTAACGCCGAAAAGGTGAATTATCAATCAGACCCTGGAAGGCAGAGGAATCGGGAAAAACGACCAGAAATTATCTTTTACATGCTTGTTAATGCTGTCTTTGTTTCCTTATTTTTCATATAGAATAACAGCTGTTTGCGAGAAACATCACTGCAATTCAATCCCTTCTATGGCAAATCCAAAATGATTTTTGTTTGTGGATTACAAAGTACAGCAGCAGCTTGATTCGCTGACTAATTAATTATTGGTCGTTTTAGCTTAATAGTCGTTATAATTCGTAATGTGAGGGATATGCACCAATGGCAGCACATTAAGACGCACCTGTAAAAACGAACGAGCGAACGTGCTCTTTCGGAGACTCGTGTTCAATCAACCTCAGTGCCTAACGAGAACCGATTGTGAAAACAAACCAATCTCTCGTGAAAATGTATAATATCTCATACTCTCTTCACCACTTTAACAAAGCAATAAATCTTGTATCGTAGGAAAGAGACACATGTGTGTTCATTAAGGAAAAAGTGACAAGAAACCTCTGACGAGTTTGCATGCCGTTAAAACGTGTTTAGCAGTTGTAACTGATCAAATTATTTAATAAAGTATGTACCCCTAATTAAATTTGTAAGTAAGCAAATGAACCTTGCGAGTAAATGTGACTCAAATAATCAGATTTCACGCTCAGGAATTGTTGAGAAATAATCGCACAATAAAGGAAGTTGTTACAACCGTGGAGGTTTCGACTTTTTAGAGCAAAAATGGCTATGAGAGATTTATGGAAACAAACCATCACGAAATCATTGAAAGTCCTGGAATTTTTGCAACGGATGAATCTGATATTATAGTTTCTTCATTAACCAAATTGTGACACGTGTTTCTAGCAGGATTCGAACCTGAAAATTGTGACACGTGTTTCTAGCAGGATTCGAACCTGCAATTCTTCGTGTATAAGGCGGACGTGATAACTACTCCACTACAGGAACGCGGCTTGTAAGCATGGCTTTGTCCGCCAAGAGCATCTCACTCATGGTGGGATATGACGTAGTCTTTGAAGGTCAAGAAAAGCTCTGAAGGCGTTTGCGATATCGGCGCAATTTTGATTTTATTTCTAGTTACTTTTACATTCGCTGATCCGGGTTACAATTTGGACTAAAGTAAACTTTAACGTAATTTTGACAGTGCACGTATTGCATTATCGGAGAGCTCAATTTTAAATTTTGTCTCATTGCTGTTTATTGAATAAAGATTAAACTCACGCATACAATATTTGCAACTGCAGAAGACATGGCCACAAGCAAATGATGGCTTTGTATTGTTATTTTTCCTCGTGAAAAAACAATCATACCGACTGTTGCTGTTACATGATTTTATATTCAAATTAGGTATAGACTGCGTCCTCGTTATATGAATTTCTTTTCGTCAATCAGGTATCAAAGTTCCTCTGTCGTTCATATCACAGATTCCTGTTGCTATTTTAAAACTTGAAATTTTAGGGAAATCAAGAACTTCTTTGACATTGCAAACCGTAGGATGCTAAGCTTACAGAATGAAAGATTTGAAGGTCAATTCGCCGGTAACAAAACGAAAAAGGGCCTGGGACCGAATGTCGATCGCAAAGCATGCATGGATTGATTGGCTGGACAGGAAGACATGTTGACATACATGTGTTGTAATTTATCCTGTTCAAGAGACTAATTCAAAGCTGTTTTGAAGGAAAATGCCACATCATTTTAACTGTTGTGTGCCCCAGTGTACCAACAACTTTAGAAACAAACCAAATCTGGAATATTACAGGATTCCCAAGTGCGAAAAGGCTCGGAAATACTACAAAGTATCGCTTAGAAACGAATCGCTAAAGCTGGATTCTTCCCAAACGAGAATCTGTTCTGAACACTTCGAAGGTGGCCAAAAACTCAGCAGAAATCATCTGCCAACAATATTTCCATGGACAAAAGAGAGAAAATCAAGGAGAGAAATCTTTAAGCATGACTTTGTGCCAAAGAAAAGGAAAGTCGCATCAGTTGTTGTATTGTTGTATCTACTACTGATACTGACAGCAGTTACTCTGACAACAATGCCAACATTGTAACCCAAACAACACCGACCTCGACTGAATCACTGCACGAGGATCCATACTAAACGAGAGAAGTTCAACCTGAGGAAATACTGAATAATTTTCGAGAAGAACAACATCAATATCTTTCTAAACACACTCAAACTGACATAGATTTGGCATCATTGGAAGAGGTATTGAATGAGGTATCTAAACTCAAAGAGGAAAACAAACAATTGAGAGATAAATGTGACCAGTTAACAAAAGAAAACAAACATTTGAACTTTATTTCAAGTAATAGTGAAGTTTTTAATATTGAGAAGTACAAAGATAATCCTGATGACATTGCATTCTACACTGGACTCTCTGATTATGAAATGTTAATGATGTGTTACAACCTAGTGAAAGACTCAGCTAAGAATATAAGCTACAATTAAGAAAGAATATACTGTGACTTAGAAAGTACAAAACAACCTGGCAGACCTAGAGCACTATCAACATTCCAGGAATTCATAATGACTTTGGTGTGAATACGACTGGGATTGTTTGAGAGAGACTTGGGCCATAGGTTTAATGTTTCTCACATGTCTGTTTCAAGGATAACTAACTCATGGCTGAGATTTTTGAGGTCAGAGTTCGAGCCGCTTATACAGATACCACCTGATGATGTTTTGAAATTTCATATGCCGAAAGTCTTCAAAGAAATCTGTCCTGACACTGTTGTCATTGTAGACTGCATTGAGTTCCAGATGGAAAAGCCATCGTCACTCGATGCCCAATCTGCCTGCTATTCATCCTTTAAGAGCACTAACACAATGAAAGCTTTATTAGGAATCACACCAAGTGGAGTTGTCTGTTTTGTTAGTGAACTATTTCCAGTACTTCTGATCTAGAAATAACAATGCAAAGTGGCTTTCTTGGCAAACTTAAAAGAGGTGACGAGGTAATGGCTGATAGGGGTTTAATTGTCAAGATGAGTTAGCATCAGTTGGAGTTGTGCTAGTTAAACCTAATTTTCTAAAAGACAAAAAGCAATTTTCTACCAAAGAAACAGAACATAATAAAACAATTGCAAGTCTCTGTGTCCACGTGGAAAGGTTAATGGAACGTATTAAAAACTGGCATATTTTTGATCGTAAAATTCCCATTTCAATGTCACCTGTTGCCTCTGATATATTAATTGTGGTGGCTGCTCTATCAAATTTTCTTCCTCCCTTAATAGACTAATTAGATTTTGTACATGTTCATGGTAGAGTGCATTTCATTGTTGATGTGTGAAACACTTTGAAAGCAAAATTGTGCAAATTAGTGCATGTTTCACTCTTATAATGAAATGCACCCAAGGTGTAAGATAGAGCAAAAACACGAACTTTGAAATGATATTAAATAGTTATTGACAAATATTTAGTATGTAGTGACAAATTAATGATATCACTGGACCAGAATAGTTTTTAGTCTTGCTAGAAAACAAATGCAATTGACAGAGACCACTTTAAATATATGGTACTGTCATTAAACTGTTCAGGATTGAGCACAAAGCAAAATGAAACAAAACTATTTATTCTAAACATGAACAAAAGCTGCAGAATATAATACATTACATGATAATATATTTGCTTGACGTTTTGATCTGATAAATCTTTAAATTGTTTTCCACACATGTGCAGTCTACACTTTGATGCATTAACTTTAACTATAACTAAATATATTGTACTTTGCCTCTTTTGTATTCTTTTGTCCAGTGACAACTATTGTGGTTTATTAAACTTTGAAATTACAATAACTGCACAGGTATTTAAAAGCCAGTTATTTCAATAAATAGTGCCTGTTATTGTTGTTAGTATTTTAGCCTTTTTAAAGGTTACACTACATGTAGACCCATTATGTCCAAGATAATTAAAATTGTGCAACTTATATTCAAGACTGCAAGGTTTTCTTTTACACTGTTCTAAATGAATTCATTTAAATCAATTTAGGCACAGTCTATTCAAATCTCAACTGACATCTTGCTAACCCATATTTGACTCGAGGATATGACATCTCTGGTAAAACTTGTTGTTGAAAGAAATTGCAAAGTTTAGGAAGAACACTTTCCCAAAACTCAGAGTTGAAGTTGACTCGCTCAATGTATAGCTCATTTCCTGTTGATCCCTTGACTACAAAATCTGTCCATTTACGCTGGGTTACAAACATCTGTTGTTGTATTTGATAGAAATACTTATGTCCAGTGTTCATCTTTAGATGGTTGTCACCACAGTCCTTACATATTCTTCTTTGAAGCAGACCTTGTCTAAGACTCTCACTGTCATTTAACTGTATCAATTTCATTTCAAGAAGTCCAAGTGGTTGGGAAACATGAGGATCTGACACTAGACCATCAGGGTGGCTGCTAAGAAACCATGGCTTTGGCTTATAAAAAGCCCACATGGCTCAACTGAAAGATTCCTGTAGCCTGAGTTATGCTTAGATGTAACATATAATCTTTCAATTTCTTCTTCTTTCTCTAAACCCTGATTCATTGCAAAACTCTGATACTGTTTATTATACTGTAAGACATCTGCAAGTGCCTTTGTTGGTGATGTAGTGGGCTTCAAAGAGGCAACCCGGTAACATTTCGAAGCTGTTATTCTACACTTTCTGTGATAATTCCAAAGCTTGTCCTTTGATTGTCCTCTAGTCTTTTGCTCAACTTTGGTAATTTCCTTTTCCTCTAGATTCAACTTTTTCTCAATTTCTTTGCATTTTTCACTTATTTCCCTTAGGGATGGTGGAAGTCGGCTATTATGTAAGTTATAACGCTATGAAAGGAAAGAGTTTTCATTTGCGGCAACCCAGTAAGATGTCGAGAGTTAAGAGAGATGAGCCACTTATTTTTGCAGGATATGACTGGGAGTAGAATCGCACTTATCCTCGACTTAAGTGTAATTGGCAATGTGTACGTAGTTTACAGCAAAGAGTGTTTTATTTATGAGAATAAGTGTTGGTTACAAAGAGAGTTTTGCTTTTAAGACAATAAATGCTGAATAAATTATAAAGAAACTGCCAAATACCAATTACCATTTCAACAACTACATTGATGCTTCTATAGGTCACAACAACAACATCTGAATGATAACAATTGATGAAGTGGACCTGAAATTTTAAGTGAGTATCAATTATTAACTTCACATCGGCAATGAGGCTTCTAGAGTTGACCGAAACATTTAAATGGCGGACAATGACTGATAAACTAGACTTGAATTTTAAAGGAAGACAAAATTCACTGTTTTGTTTTGTTTTTTTATTTTATCATTCCTTGAATAAGATGATATATTTCAGTGTTTATTCTAGTAGAAATGGCTTACGAAATTAACACTTCGCACGAACAAATATTTCTTTTTAACTTTAATAAACGATTAAAATATTAATCATTCGGTTATTCAGCTCTCAGAGCATCCTTTCAATTAGCCCGTTCACTTGATTGTAATTGGAAAGAAAAAATATTAAAAAAACATCTCTGAACTCCTTTTAAATTATTTAAAATCCTCCAGAAGCTGTTAAAAAGCTGAAAGCAAAGTCTCGACTAAACAAAAACCGAAATGAATTTTCTTCTGTGTGTTCAACTAATCGTGTTATCAGTCGTAGCTTCTCAAGCATTTCTTTGTAAGGAAGCATCTCTTTCTTGTCCTGTGATAACTCGGAATCATCGCCGACTTAAAGGCTTCACGCTCAAAACATTTCATTCGGCAAGCCTGATATCCTGTAGTTTGCAATGTCAGAGAAAGCCACGATGCATTTCAACAAATTTCAGAAAAATTTCCAAAACTGAGGGAACCTGTGAGTTAAACGACAGAGGAGTCTTCCCTCTTGAGGAAGGAAAAGAACTGGAATATGATGAAGAAGCTATTTACACTCAATTATACGAGAAGAAGGTAATAAAAATTTGTCTTATCTATTTAAATTATTGATCCTTGCAATGAAGTGGGCATCTTCAAAAAGTGTGTACATATCTGTTTATCTACCGGAACACATCTAAACAAAAAGACGGAAAAGCTACGATCTTCGCTTTGTCACGAGAAGGAGAATAAGCTTACGGATGGATTCTCTGTTGGGCGGTAGCGGAATATTAGAACACGAAATCCTCCGACCTGAGATTTTATTTTATTCATGACATATTTTTGGTAATGTTTATCTTTTCGACGTTAGAAGTAAAAAATTCAACATTTCTCTTAACTTAATAATGTGTCTATCCATTGATCCTCGTCTAGTTATATTATGGTGCAATGTCGGGTTTTCATGATGGATGATTAGCGTCGTTACTGCGAATGTTGCCTTAAAAAATAAAATGGGCCTTTTTCCAAATTTTCAGTATCTTTGGAGAAATGATACTTGCAAAGTCCTCCGAAGTACAATAATGTTTAGAATTACAATTGTGTTGAGTCTTCTCAAATAATTTTGTGGACTGAAAGAGGGTAACATTAATTTGAGACAAAAAATTGTAGTTTTTAGCTTAGGTTAAAAATTTATAGATGAGTTTCTATTTGATGATTGACCAAGATGACTAATTGATTTCCTGATAAGAAAAAATGAATATTTTCATGTCTGAGCAGCGCAACTGTCAGGTTTTCACGGAAGAATTTAAATTCGTCAGCTGCAAATGTATGTAGGGCTGAGTACATAAGATATTCTTAAAATTAACGTCTAAGATCTTGCACTTACATCACTGAGGAGTTACTCGTCTCAGTCTCCTCTTGTCTTTGTGTCAAGAGGCCTCCTGTCAATACTTGCGGAGTCTTCTATCGTCATGACCCTCCCTGAACCATTTCTGGACCTTATCTGCTACCTTCATAGTCCTCGAATGTGGTTTAAAAAAATAAGATTACCCGGGAAAATACTGCGAGGTTTATTTCTGAAAAGAAAAAGAAAAGATGAAGAAAATAAGAAGCTCCCCAAGACCTGTAAGATTCGTATTTTCCCAAATAAAACTCATTCATAATTTCAAATGCAATCTTTGCTTACGCCAAAGCATTTCGAAATTTGAACGCGATAACCTTTAACATATCTAGGAATTTTACATGACAATCCCTATCCAAAAAAATCTGGATCCTCCTAAGGTACCGCAGTATAATTATCGTCCTGGGTATGAGACGACCTCGAACATCACTCGAAGTTCAGAGTCTTTTAACATTCGGATAGTTCTTATCCGTTAAATTTTTTTCTAATTTGGATCTTTGAGACGAAATGGAAACTATAATCTGCGCTGATTTTGATATTTCTGTTCAAACGTTGAAAATATCCGCAGTCATTAGTAGTAAACTTGTCAATATGTGTGATTGAGTTTCTCTGTCCAAAATGCAGGTGAAGAATCACCAAAAGGCCCAGTTCCCTTAGGTATGGAAAGTGGAGTTATTACTGACTCGCAGATTAGTGCATCTTCCGTGTATGATAATGCACATGGCCCACAGAATGGTAGATCACATTTCAAGGGGGCCAAAGCCCCGTTGGCGTTTGTATCTGCTGGCTGGGCAGCTGATCTGCTAAACACCAACCAATGGCTGCAAGTGGATCTTCGGAATACCGCAAGGGTAATAGGCATAGCGACGCAGGGGAGACATGATTACGATCAGTGGGTTACTAAATACAAGCTACAATATGGCGACGATGGACAAACTTACAGTATCTACAGGCGAAACGGAGACACTTCAGATACGGTATAAATAAGAATGACTTTTTGAGCAAGATGTTTTCCCTTCTATTCTTGCTGTGAGGGTGAACCAAAGAAAAAAAATTAAGAGTCCCCAAGAGTAAAAGAATCTCAGTCCTTCGAATTCTTTGCTCCAATGCACCAACACTTCGCCACAGTTATCTTACAGACGGCTGAGCTATTACGAGGTCCATCATATGTTCAAATATGAGCTTTTCTTTTTTTGCTTTTGGTGGGTCTGAGACGAGGTCGAGATACATGAGAACGCTAGAGAACGAGTAGTAAAAAATTAGTGAGATCAAACTGTACTCGTTTATATCTATGTTTGTATTTGATTGCTGATGAACATGTAGAAAAGCATCAACTAAGGTTCTAGGTTTAGAGTTAGCGCTCCTGTGTAATGCATACATTCGTCAATTTTACATCCCACAATATTCTACTCAGATTTTCCCTGGAAACACTGACAGGGACACAGTTGTGTATCACGATCTTAACCCGGTCATTGATGCTCGCTTCGTTCGAGTTCTTCCGATGGAATGGTTTGAGTTTATCGGAATGAGAATGGAGCTTTACTCTTGTCAAAGTAAGTTACTAGTTGAACTGTTTATTCCTGGCTGAATTATTGTGCTTAACTCTCAGAAATGATCAACATGAAACTTCTCCCTATAATATCCTTACATTACCCAGCAAACAGGTCATGACAATATTCAAACTTATAAGGCAGAAGATGTTATCTTGATCTTACATCAAATTCTTCTAACTAATTTACAAGGATATGTGTCGCAGCAGGAGGGGTGGGGGATATAGAGGTGGGGCAGAGGGAAAACTCAGGGCAATGGACTGGTTTTAATTAAAGAGTAGTGCCCAGAGACTAAAAGGAACCCTGGTCTAAGGCCAGTTGGCCTCACGTTTTATAATGGTAATTGGACCGAGTAGAGTTTAATACGGTCACTATTTATACGAGTGATTAACAAAATCAGACGATCGCGAAGCAGGAGTCTGATTTGTCAATTACGAGTATGATTACCAGGATGAATTTGACGACTCGAGGCTCTGTCATCAACTAATCAAAACTATGATAACATTTGAGAAAGAGACTGGACATCGGTTATACGTCTTTATTAAAAGAAAAACAAAACAAGAGTAAAATCGGCGAAATGCGAGACAAAATCGCGCGTTTATGACGTCATACCCACTTACGCGGGTATGACGTGTTAATTGCCCCTTTAACTGCCCTAGTACACTGTGCGATTACAAACATGACGCTTATATTGTCCTATTAGTGCTCAAATCGGGCCAGTGGTAACCAATCACGTTCGAGAGTTTTGTTATAGTTTTGATTACATACGTAATTGCAATATGACAGTAAAGCTCAAACATTTTATATCGGATCCCTTTCTAATTTTTCAATTAATGAGCACTTAACTTCTTTTTAGCGCTTATTTTTGAATACATTATTCAGCAAGCATGCACATGAAAAGATGAGATGAATCTATCGGCTGATAGGTTTTTTTATGATAGAGCACCAAATTTTTCCGACTTGCATGTTTGCTGGTAAAAGTATAGGAGCTAAAAGGAAGAATTTTCAATCAGATCTTCAAAGAAGGAAGAAGGTGTTATTGACTCATCGAGACACTTGTCTTTCATTCAGGGTATCTTTTTAAATTTTCATATATCGACGACAGATGTGAAAACTTTCCATCTGTCATATTTTTCTTTGAATGTTTTTATCGTTTTGTCCTAAACTAGTTTGACTTGTATGCCGGTAAAATGGTGGTTTTTTATCTTTTTCTTTTAAAGGCGAATGGACTACATTTCACTAAGTGCTGGTCCTCAAAATATTGTACTGTCATTTAAAGAAAAATGAGTAATACTTCCAGGGTTAAAGGGTTAAGAGCGCTAGCAGTGCTCAGAAACCAAAGCGAACCCCGGTTTAAGGTCAGTTGCCCTTTGGGTTTTACACGTGATTGTAATATGTCATCGAGAGAGCTCACGCATTTCACATAACAACCCCAACACCTAATTTTTTTTTTATTGAGATACATTATTTCTTTCTGATAGAAAACTTAATTCTCTTAACTTGTTTAAAAGTACGAGAGTCACAACCGAAGGGAAGAATTCACCTTTTCGGCGTCAGTTTAAAGTCGTCAGCTACAAATGTAAGTAGGGCTGAGTAGAAAAATAATCTTCAAATTAATGTCTAAGATCCTGCACTTACATCTCTGAGGAGTTACTCATCTCAGCTACTTACATCACTTAGGAGTTACTCATCTCAGCTGTCTTTGTGTCAAGAGGCCTCCCGTCAATACGTGCGGAGTCTCCCATCGTGGTGAGCCTCCCCGAACCATTTCTGGACCTTATCTGGTACCTTCAAAGCCCTCGAATGTGGTGTAAAAAGAAAAAAGAATGCGCAGGAAAATACTGCGTGGGTCATTTCTAAACAAAACAAAAAGATGAAGAAAATACGACTGAGCTCTCTAAGACGTTGAAGATCCGTATTTTCCCAGTTAAAACTCATTCATAATTTCAAATGCAGTCTGTGCCTCCGCTAACGCATTGCGAAACTTGAACGCGATAACTTTAAACACATGTAGAGATTGTACAAGGCAATCCCTATGCAAAAACCTCTGGATAATCCGAAGGTGCCACGATATTAATTACCGTCCGGGATACGAGATGACATTTAAGAACTTGTACCATCACTTGAAGTTCAGAGACTTTTAATATACGGAGAGTTCTTATCTGTTAAATTTTTTCTAATTTGGATCCTTAGGACGAAATCGAAACTTCAAACTGCATTGATTTTTATACTTCTGTTCAAATGTTGAAAACATCTGCAGTCATTAGGAGTAAACTTGTGAATACGTGCGTTTGTGTTTCTCTGTCCAAAATGCAGGTGAAGAATCACCAAAAGGCCCAGTTTCCCTGGGTATGGAAAGTGTAGTTATTACTGACTCGCAGATCAATGCATAGTCCGTGTGCAGTTATTATCATTGTTTCTCGTCTCTCGCTCTGACGAGGGGCTAACGCTCGAACGTCAGCTTTGAAACTCTGACTGTTGCAAATTTGCGTTATCGACTCAGTTGATGAAACCAAATTACCTTATCATTTATTTGATCAGAAGAAGTTGCTAAGATTTGTTACCATATCGCTTGCAGTGCCCGTAGGCAGTGTGAAGCGAATCCTGTTCTCTGATTGGCTACCTAAGCGGGCAAGATGGCCCATCACAATGTTGGCGATGTAGTCGCAAAAACTCGGCAGAGGGAGATCAAAACAAAGAAAACATAACTAAAATACCCACGTGGGTTTACTGTATTACAAACACAGCTGGCTTTCTCGCCCAGCTCTCTTAAAAAAAAACAGGTCAATCTTCATTTGTAATACAGCGAAACCTTTTTATAGGAAATTCTTTATTGTCCAAGCTTGTTCAGTCAACAACTGCATCAAGTCTTCTATCGTTGACTAGAACATTTAAGTGATAACAACTGATAATCGGCGATCAGGCGATACATATGGCTGTGAGTTATAGCGTGATGAAACAAAATGGTTTTCATCGAAGGAAACGAAACGAAATGCTCAGAGTTTAGACATCACAAATTTGAAAGCAAATAGAACACTTCTCGCAGACAAAATATGTCCAGTTACAACGAGTTGAAAATTAATGCAGTTTTATTTGCTTTCAAATTTGTGATGCCTTGATGTAGTTGTTGACATAATAACTGGTATCTAGAAGTTTTTAAATAATTTAGTAATTTAGTAAGTATTTTCAACTCAGTTGCAACTGAGTATATTTTGTCTGCGGGAAGTGTGGTCAAGTACTTAATAAATTATTCAGAAACTTCTACGGTAGATAAAAATATTAGTATCTCAACAACTACATCGAGGAGTCTATAGTTAACAGGAAAATCTATATGATAACAACTGACAAACTAGAAAAATTTTACAGACGGCAGGGTCATTTTTTATTTTAAATCTCTGAATCAAATAAGATCTTTGTTTATTCAGGCAGAAACGGCAGACGAGATTAATACTTGACTCGGAAATGTCATCTTCTTTCACATTTAATCAACAATTGAAATCGTACTGTTATCCAGCTTTCAGTGCATCCTTTCAATTAGCCAGTCGACTCGGCTATGATTGGATAGATAATAATTAAAATCTTCAACTTTCATTTAAATTATTCAATGTCGATTAAATTATTCAATGGCTGACTTCTGATGAAAACGCCTGCGACTTTCAAAGCTGAGGATTAAGCATACCTTAGACGAGGTCATCACCAGAAAATCAAAATGAATTTTACTCTCTGTGCTGGACTTATCGTGTTATTAGTGTCCGAAGTCGTAGCATCTCAAGCACTTGTTTGTAAGGAAGCGTCTCTTTCTTGTCCTGTGATAACTTACAATCATCGCCGACTTAAAGGCTTCGCGTTCAAAACAATTCACTTTGCAAGCCTGATATCCTGTGGTTTGCTATGTCAGAGAGACCCTCGATGCGTTTCAACAAATTTCAGAAACTTTTTCAAAAGTCAGGGAACCTGTGAGTTGAACGACAGAGGAGTTCTCCTTACTGAGAAAGGAAACGAACTGGAATACGACGAAGAGGCGATTTACACTCAATTTTACGACACGAAGGTAACAAAAAAATCTTGATAAAAGACCAAGAAGAAGGTGTTATTGATTCCTCGAGACACTTGTCCTTCATTCGTGGTATCTTCTCATAAAATCTTCATATTTCGACGACAGATGTGAAAACTTTCCATCTGTCATATTTTTCTTTGAGTAGTTTGACGTGTATGCGGGTAAAAAGGCGAATGGACCACATTTCACTGAGTGCTGATAATCAAAATGTTGTACTGTCGTTTAAAGTAAAATGAGAATTTTTTCCTAAGTGGGAATTTAAACCTTGGTATCATTGGAGTCAATATATACAAACTGCTCCGAAGCTCAATAAAGTTAAGTATATTTTAAGTTGAAAGTTCTCAAATAAATTCAGGTGGACCGAAAGTAGGTCATACGGATTTAATACACAAAATTCAGCTTGAAGCTAAAACTTTCAAGATGTATCTAAAGGCCTTCAATTAACTCACTTTTGTAGTCTCCATACGGTAATGAACCCGGAAGACTAATTGATTTCCCGATAAAATAAAAAAATGAATGATTTTTTGTTTTCAGCACCACTGTCAGGCCTTCAAGGAAGATTTAAAAGTCGTCAACTGCAAATGTAAGTAGCGTTGGTTTGAAAGGTGGTCTTGAGATTAAAGTCAACGACTTCGTGTTTAAATTACAATGATTTACTTGTCCCTGCTGCTTCTTGTGTCTCTCCGCCAAAAGGTGCGGAGTCTGTCGTCTTCGCGAACCTTGGCGGACCCTCACAAACATTCCCCGAACCTGCTTGAAACATTTCGATTCTTACAGTTTCCTTGAAAGTCCTCGAATGCTGTCAAAAAAATTGCTAAGGAAAATGTTGCCTAGCTTACTTCTAAATTAAAGTAAAAATCAAGGCTTTAATTCCCATGAGTGACCAAGACAGAATTTCTCCTTACAATAACCATACAATATCAATCAGACAGGTGATGAGAATAATGAAGAATATAAGTTTGAGGATTTTCTAGTTGATCCAGTACCAAATTCTCAGAACTAGCATCATAAGAGTTGTATAGCAGACAGTAAGGAGAATTACTAATGAGATTTTGGGCACTCAAGGGTAAAGGAAACAAGAACCTACTGAAGAAGCCGAGGACACTCACTGTGTTATTCACAATTTCAAATGCCGATGTGCCTACCAAATACATAGCGAAAACATGATAGCGTTGCACGCTTGGAAATTTTGACCTCAAATTGGGCCAAACTCTTTCGGCCGCGCAGGGTCTGGGCCCATGTACACAAACAAATCAAAATGGCGTCCCAAAGTGAGCCTGACCAAGAAGAACTTTTTAATGGGATCAAAGGAGCATTAAAGCGGCAGAAATCGAAATTCGAACGCCAGATTTCAAATGTTCACAAGTTGAAAGATCTAGATGAGACATTTAACGCACTAGAGAAACTGGCCGAAGCTGTTGTGAAAGGAAAATATGGTCCCCTTCGCTATCGACACGAGCATGAAATCAGTCATGTATATCCAATGTTGGAACGAACAATGATAATAGCTAAGAATGGAATTAATACACGCCTTACTCCACGGATGAGTAAAATCCATCCTTGGGTGATCTGTTTCGATGTTCCGATGCCGCAGGAAGTGTTCAGTCTATTAAACAAAGGGATCGTAAATCGCACAAGTTATGGTGTAGATGTTTCGGAGAAACCCGGTTCAGTGACAATAACATTCACAAATATGAGAAGACTGTGTGCTTTGTTCAATAAATTTGAGGACTGCGAAGCATTTACAAAGGAGCTAGGAGCTGGAAAAGGGGTGGTAAAACTTATTGTTGACGACAGGAAGAATGGAATTATGAGATACAAGTTTAAAGAGGAAATTTTACAATTTAATTTCCATTACGGGTACTGGAATGCATTTGGCATCATTCAGCATTGAAACAGGAGCAGTTTGTTTTTCCAGTATTGATTGGATGCAGTGGTACATTCTTAAATTGTAATCGAGTCGAGACAACAACATATATGTAATAGATGTTATATTTATGATTTTATACACTTCTAACACAATTGTGGGTACATTAATTGTCTTATATGTTATTGTTGCAATGCCCTCAGTGGAATTAAAATATAGAAAAGGGGAACAGTCTCTGGCAGACCCCTAACAATAAAAATTATTCTCTTAAGGAAACTATTAAGCAGATTTACTAACAACACTGTACATTTAGAATATTCGTTACATTTAGAATATTTTTGACATTTATTATAGTTATAATTACATTTATATTCTTAATTAATTTAAATTTAAATCTGTATTTGTAATTGTATTGTGTTTAGCTGAAAAACCCTTTCTAGGGAGCATCAATAAAAGTATGTATGTATGTATGTATGTATGTATGTGTGTGTGTGTGTGTGTGTGTGTGTGTGTGTGTGTGTGTGTGTGTGTGTGTGTCTGTATGTATGTATGTATGTATGTATGTATGTATGTATGTATAGCAAACTGTCAGGGAAACCTGACAATAGTTGCTTCATGCTACGGAAACTGGGATAAGCTCTGGCAGTCATGGGCCACTAGGCTTGTAAGACTAAGCCACGACCAAGTTAAGACAAGTACTTCAAACACTCTCTAGTAGGCTTTCCCTCCGCAACAGACTTCTTGATCTCATCCATGAATTTATGACCACAAAAGAAACATTTGTCGTCGTGTTCACCTTTGGAAAACCCACAGGAGCAAAAGTGTTGTGCATCTGTGGTAATGCGATTGGGGATGAGGCTGTCTCTTGATTGATGATATGTCAAGAGAGATGGCTGGCGGAGAGGGAGCCAAAGTTTACTGATGTAATCATGCCTGAATACCTGATTCCAGCGGTCTTTATAAAGGCTGTTTCTTGCATAGCTGGCAATTTGAACATGCTTGGCTTCCCTCCCTTGCATGGTGTTCACTCCTAATCCAGTTTCATATTTCTCAAATACCCACTGGGTGTGAACTGGGACCAAATGTCCAATGCTCCAAACTGTCCCTGATACAGTGCCTGTGAAGAGTGTGACTGCTGTGAAGTAATCCCGAGCTAAGACCTTGAGTTCATCAATGGCTGGCTGAGTAATGTGGTACATTGAAAAAATGGAGGCACAATCTCTGAGCTTCATTGCAATGAAAACAATGAACAAAAGTTTCATAAGCAATTTGGGATCATCTGAATCCCCCCTGATGGCATTCACAAGGTACATAAACCCATGCAAAATAAGTCTTGAGTCCTTTCCAGTCAGTCTGTAAGAAAAGTCTTTGTCCTTAGACCTATCTTCCAGCATCCACTTTCCTAGCTGCTTTTTCAAACGTCCAGCTTTTACATCACACTCTAGTGCCTTCATGTACCTTGACATTGCACATGCTGGGGATAGGTCTGATAGGCTGGAGATCTTCTGTGGGAGGTTACTTGAAGAAATTGCTAGGTTTAATAGCATTGTGTGTAAATGCTGTACCCCATTGTTTTTAAGGTGAAGGGGCTCTACAACCTCTTTATCACACAACTTTCCAATCAGTGGCTGAAATTCCTGCCTTGATTTATTACTGGCAATAAATTTGGTGATTTTTGTTCTTTTTGTTGAGGCTGCAAGGCTGGAGGGAAGCTTTGCCTTAAAACTTTCAACCTGTTTGGCAATGTTTAATCTATCTTTGTATGGCCATGGTTTCCACTTGCAATCATTCATTAGCCCAAATTTTCCATTCAGTGTAACACAGTCCTCTTTTTGATATACATTTGCAAAGCTGGAAAAATAAGTGGCAGCATTGTTAAGTTCCCCATTAAGGAAAGCCAGAAATTTCATGTCTGAGGGAACCAGTTCAAAAGTGAAGGTTACTTGCTTCTCTGACACTGTATATGTTTTCTTCTCAATTGCTTCAATCTTGGAGGTTAATTGCAGAGTAAATTGCTCTACACATGGGTGGTCTTCTTTGCAGTTGGCACCAAATAAAAGAAAATTGTCATTTGGGCTAGCCACTCTTGGCCCAACATTTAAGAAACTCACCAACCAGGACATTGAGTCATCCCACTTCCCAAAGGGTGCTCCATCCCCCCCAATTGCCACTTTAAAGGATCCTTCTTTGTGACCAAACCAATTAAGTTTGTCATTGTCCTTTCTAAATTCATTTGTTTCAAAGTAAAATTGACTAAGCATAATTAGCATTGTCTCTAAGTCTCTGTAGACCCCATCAACTCGTTGATCCCTGGGTAAGGTAGTGCACAGTGTTTCTCTCACTGACAAGGTCTCTCCAACATTGATTTCTTCAATTTTGTGCATGAGAGCACTGTAAGCAAGTGGCCTTGGAATGGGAACTCCAAAGCCAAATTTGATTCTCTCCTTGAAAGATAACCTTTCATGGTTCTTTTCCCAGTATGTCTCATAACCATTGCTGATCTCCCCTGCTGGTATTTTACTTTTCCAATGATCCCCCCTGCATACAGTAGAGATAAGGAACGGATGAAATTTTCATTGCTTTCCTCGTACTCCTTCGCTTGAGCATTTATTTTCATCGCAGCTGCCCTTTTAAGCTTTTTAGAAGAATCGAAATATTTAGAAATATCAGCCATTTTGCCATATTTGAGAACAGTGGAAAACATTCCATCAAGAGCAGGAGTTCTATCTTCCACGGAACCTCCGTTCACCTCTGAAGCAGCAATCAGGGTCTCTAATTGCCTTCTGTGGGCACTTCTTCTCGGTAAATTTAATTTACCCTCTCCAGTGAGTTCAGTTGGGCTTTTTTTCCTACTTGTAGAAGTGTTTTGCAAGATTTCAAATGCTGTCGCACGGCTTTGAGTTGGCGGGGTCACCTCAAGCTCAAGCTGATCCACACATTCTCGTATTTTCTCGCCATTTTTTTAGGCGCTCTAACTTTTTCTCAGAGCAGAGAGCTCTTTACTCTTTGACAGATACTCTTTTCGAAGGGTAGCCCTTTCTCTAGCTAGTTCAGCTACAGGGAATCGTTTCTTCTGCGAAAATGCAAGCGATCTCCGAGGGGTTCTTCTCTTCTTACTTCCCATTGCCCGATCGCCACGGTCATGGGCCACAGGCTATTTCCTTTCAATTAAAATTGAGTATTTTTGTTACAAATTTTTACACATATAAAAGCAAAATTATGACCGCTCAACTCGAAATTATAAACGATCAATATCTCTTCTGTGGTTCTACCGTTTCCTTTTTGAGCAAAACGAGTGCTTTAACATTATTTACCTCCGTTTTTGAAGTCGACTGAAGACTTATATTTGTAACTGCGATCGTTCTTTGGAGCCCTGTGTTCACTACGAATGCAAAAATCGAGAAATATGGACAAAGTCGATGAATCAGATATCAAACTAAAGCTTGAAAGGAATAGATTTTATTTTTTAGCGCCAAACGTTTGTTTTCATTACAAGTCTCCCGCAAACAGGCAAAATAGATGACTCCCCGGGTCCCTCTGAGTCGCCATGAAAATGGCCGAGCGAAATTTGGCCTTAAAAGGACTGGAATCTAGTGGACATTTCCTTGGCCCAATTTGAGGTCAAAATTTCCAAGCGTGTTGAGTCATCAATATGGGAAGCAATTTAAACAAATCCAGAAAGTAGAGAAAGCAAACTTCAGGGATCCAAAAACCATTGGATACTCCAAAGGTGCCGCAGTAAATTTTAACCGTTTTGGGTACGAATTTTCATTTGTAGTAGAGCTTCGACCATCACTTGTAAGTCGGAGAGATTTAACTCACGTGAAAGTTTTTATCGTTATCAAATTTTTTATTATAATGCTTTAGATAAAGTGGGAAAAGAGACTGCACTAACATTTACATTTCTATTCAAACGTTTTTAAAATCCTCCTTTTCTTTCTATTCAACCGTTCTCAAAATCCTCCTTTATTCTATGATAAACAAATCAATGTCTGTGCGATTGCATTTGTCTGTCTCAATTTCAGGTGCGGAATCACCAAAAGCCCCAGTTCCCCTCGGCATGGAAAGCGGTGCTATTTTTGACTCACAGATCACCGCTTCCTCCGTGTATAATGATAACCTTGCCGCATCGAATGCTAGATTACATTTTAAAGGATCTGAAAACCCACTTAGACGTGCTGGCTGGGTACCTGGAGTGAAAAACACTAACCAATGGCTGCAAGTGGATCTTCAGCAAACCACAAGGGTAATAGGCATAGCGACGCAAGGGAGACATGATTTCGATCAGTGGGTTACCGAATACAAGCTACAATATGGCGATGATGGACAAACTTTCAGAGTTTACAAGCGAAACGGAGACACATCAGATACGGTATGAAAAAATATGCTTAATTGAAAAACCTTTTTGCGGAGAAAAAGTCCCCATGAGGAATAGAACCTTTTTGTATTCTGCATTCTGATTCTCTTTCACTGAGCCACAAGGCAGTTACACTTGGCTGGGCCATATACTCTCTGTCATTGAACCTACAGAAAAGCATTCACGAAAGTTATAGGTTAAGAGTAACTCGTACTGTAAAAACGTACGTGCGTACTTACGCTTGTTAATTTTACGCCCAAATATATTCTACCTAGTTTTTTCCAGGAAACAAGGACAGAGACACAGTAGTTTACCACGATCTTAACCCGCTCATTTATGTTCGCTATGTTCGAGTTCTTCCGATGGAATGGAAAGGGACGATCTCTATGAGGATTGAGCTTTATTCTTGTTAAGGTAACCTACTGGGGTCCAGTTGTGCAACAATGGGCCGAGTTTTTTTGAAAAACGTTTTCTGGGAGACGGAAGGTGAGCGTTGGGTGAGGGTGAGCTGTAATGGACTGACATTACATTTAACCCTTTAGCTCCCAAGATCTTCATCCTAATTCTCCCGTCTAGCTGCTACACATTCCTTGCAAATCAGGTGCAAGAATTAGATTTTAGATCAGGATAACAACTTTTACCTGATACGTTTGAATATTCTCATCACCTGTTTGCAAGATATATCTATGGATATTTTAGGAAAAAAGTTTCATTTTAGTCACTTATGGGAGTTAAAGGTTAAGAGCGCTAGCAGTGCTCAGAAACCAAAGCGAGCCCCCCGGCTTACGGCCAGTTGCCCTTTGAGTTTTACACATGTTTGTAATTTGTCATCGATAGAGCTCACGCACTTCACATAACATCCCCAACAGCTATATCTTTTTTACTAAAATACATTATTTGTTTTTGATAGAAAAACAAATTCTCTTTATTTGTTTAAAAGTGAAAGAGTCACAACTGAAGGGAAGAATTCACCTTTTCGGCGTTAGATTGCACTTGTAGTGTCACGTGACCTCTGATGTAAACAAACCGCGAAAGTTTGGACTTTAAATCAACCACCCACGGCGCGAGTCCGAACTTCGGCTTCGGCATTTTGTCGTGAATAGTTACCCTCTGTCGCGCCATGGAATAATAAAAAACATTCTCTGTACTGTGATTTATCTTCTCAGGTATTTTCAGGGCTTTGAGTGCGTTGATTGTTAAATGAAACCACGTCTGATAGGAGATTATTGCCCACGAATCGCTGTAGAACGTGATCAAGCCTGGATTCCCACACAGAATCTCGTTTCATATCGTATTGCGTGGAATGTTTTATGCACGCAAAGGGGAAATCCTGCCAAATCCAGCTCAATCTTTAAGAGTAGTTGTAGCTTTGAATAGCAGATCACAAAATTTGAGACGGGTTCAACGCTATGAATGGGGTAGAAACTGAAAATATCTGCAGAAACGGGGCATTTCAGTGAGCAGATATTTCACAACGTTTTGTGTGGAAATCGCCTCCGCAGTCGAAAAAAAAAAAAAAAAGGGTTCTATTAGTGTGTCCAAATTTCGAAAAAGACGGCGCCACTACTTCAGGCAAATCAATAATTCATGATATGTTTATTCTCAATCTAGCTTTTTTGAAGACTGTGAACGATTTTAACGCTTCGCGGCCATTTGGATTGTAGGATATTTTTAATCATTTGATTTACTACTCCACCGCGTCAGGCATGGACTCGCCGCTTATAAATCATTTGAAGATTATCGCCTATTCGATGATCGTTTGTTACGTATCGTAAGCATCAGAAGTCTCGTGACACTACACGTGAAATCTAACGCCGAAAAGGTGAATTATCAATCAGACCCTGGAAGGCAGAGGAATCGGGAAAAACGACCAGAAATTATCTTTTACATGCTTGTTAATGCTGTTTTTGTTTCCTTATTTTTCATATAGAATAACAGCTGTTTGCGAGAAACATCACTGCAATTCAATCCCTTCTATGGCTAATCCAAAATGATTTTTGTTTGTGGATTACAAAGTACAACAGCAGCTTGATTCGCTGACTAATTAATTATTGGTCGTTTTAGCTTAATAGTCGTTATAATTCGTAATGTGAGGGATATGCACCAATGGCAGCACATTAAGACGCACCTGTAAAAACGAACGAGCGAACGTGCTCTTTTGGAGACTCGTGTTCAATCAACCTCAGTGCCTAACGAGAACCGATTGTGAAAACAAACCAATCTCTCGTGAAAATGTATAATATCTCATACTCTCTTCACCACTTTAACAAAGCAATAAATCTTGTATCGTAGGAAAGAGACACATGTGTGTTCATTAAGGAAAAAGTGACAAGAATCCTCTGACGAGTTTGCATGCCGTTAAAACGTGTTTAGCAGTTGTAACTGATCAAATTATTTAATAAAGTATGTACCCCTAATTAAATTTGTAAGTAAGCAAATGAACCTTGCGAGTAAATGTGACTCAAATAGTCAGATTTAACGTTCAGGAATTGTTGAGAAATAATTTCACAATAAAGGAAGTTGTTACAACCCTGAAGGTTTGGACTTTTTAGTGCAAAAATGGCTATGGGAGATTTATGGAAACAAACCATCACGAAATCATTGAAAGTCCTGGAATTTTTGCAACGGATGAATCTGATATTATAGTTTCTTCTTTAACCAAATTATGACACGTGTTTCTAGCAGGATTCCAACCTGCAATTCCTCGTGTATGAGGTGGACGTGATAACTACCCCACTACAGGAACGCGGCTTGCATGCATGGCTTTGTCCGCCAAGAGCATTTCACTCATCGCGGGATATGACATAGTCTTTGAAGGTCAAGAAAAGCTCTGAAGGCGTTTGCGATATCGGCGCATTTTGATTTTATTTCTGGTTACTTTTACATTCGTTGAGCTGGGTTACAATTTGGACTAACGCAAACTTTAACGTCATTTTGACAGAGCACGTATTGTATTATCGGAGAGCTCGATTTTAAACTTTGTCTCATTGCTGTTTATTGAATAAAGATTAAACTCACGCATACAACATTTGCAACTGCAGAAGACAGGGCCACAGGTAAATGATGGCTTTGTATTGTTATTCTTCCTCGTGAAAAAAAAGTCATACCGACTGTTGCTGTAAAATGATTTTATATTCAAATTAGTTATAAACTGCGTCCTCTTCATATGAATTTCTTTTCGTTATTGAGGTATCAAAGTTCGAGGGAAATCGAGAACTTCTTTGACATTGCAAACCGTAGGATGCTAAGCTTACATAATGAGATTTGAAGGTGAATCCTGATAGTCGGCTATTATGTAAGTTATAGCGCTATGAGAGAAAAGATTTTTCATTTGTGGCAACTCAATGAGATGTCGAGTGTTAAGAGAGATGAGCCGTTCTTTTTTGCAGAATATGACTGGAAGTAGAATCGCACTTATCCTCAACTCGAGTGTAACTGGCTATGCGTAGTTTACAACAAAGAGTGTTTTATTTATGAGAATAAGTGTTGGTTTCAAAGAGAGTTTTTCTTTTTAGACAATAAATGCTGAATAAATTATAAAGAAACTGCCAAATACCAATTACCATTTCAGCAACTGCATTGATGCTTCTATAGTTCACAACAACAACATTTGAATGATAACAACTGATGAAGTGGATCTGAAATTTTAAGTGAGTATAAATTATTAACTTCGCATCAGCAATGAAGCTTCTAGAGTTGACCGGAACATCAAATGGCGGACAACAACTGATAAACTAGATTTGAATTTTAAGGGAAGGCGAAATTGACAGTTTTGTTTTGTTTTTATTTTATCATTCCTTGAAGAAGATGATATATTTCAGTGTTTATTCCGGTAGAAATGGCTGACGAAATTAACACTTCGCAAGAACAAATATTTCGTTTTAAGTTTAATGAACGATTAAAATATAATCATTCTGTTATTCAGCTCTCAGAGCATCCTTCAATTTGCCCGTCCACTTGATTATGATTGGAAAGAAAAAACATTAGAAAAACATCTCTGAACTCCTTTTAAACTATTTAAAATCCTCCAGAGGCTGTTAAAAGGCTGAAAGCAAAGTCTCCACCAAAAAAAAAACCGAAATGAATTTTTTGTGTGTGTTGAATCACTCGTGTTATTCATGTCCGTAGTTATTCATAGTCGTAGCCTTTCAAGCATTTCTTTTTAAGGAAGCATCTCTTTCTTGTCCTGTGATAACTCACCATCATCGCCGACTTAAAGGCTTTGCGCCCAAAACATTTCATTCGGCAAGCCTGATATCCTGTGGTTTGCAATGTCAGAGAAACCCTCGATGCGTTTCAACAAATTTCAAAAAAATTTCCAAAACTGAGGGAACGTGTGAGTTAAACGACAGAGGAGTTTACCCTCTTGAGGAAGGAAAAGAACTAGAATTTGACGAAGAAGCTATTTACACTCAATTTCACTTCAAAAAGGTAACAAAAATGTGTCTTATCTATTTTAAGTATTGATCCACTTAAGAAGTGGGCGTCTTCAAAATCGCGATCGCGATCGCGATCGCGGCCCACAAAAACCCGGTGGCAGTCTGTGTTTACATTAAGGAAATCTATCTCTGATAATGGCTTCCAACAAGTATGGCTGAAAGTGCAAAAGTCGCTGCTAAAAGTCATTCCTTATCTGTACAGTTTATCGTCCGCCGAGCACACCATTAAACTTCCTGGATGATCTTGCTGAAAATGTCATCAGGAGTATTTTTTACTAGGACTCGATGTCATACTGGGTGATCTCAACTGGAACCTCCGAGATAATGTGGAGTCTGGCGTCCTCATGGATTTTGTTCGACCTTTAATCTCACACAGCCAATCAACAAACCAACTAGAGTTACAGAGAATAGCGAATCCTTGATTGACGTTGTAATGACCACAAACGAAAACCTAGTTGCTTCTAGTGATGTCCTGATGTCAACTATTAGCGACCACAACCTCGTAAATATAACACTGAAGCCAAAAAAGCCAAGAATCAAGTACTCTTACGTAACCATCAGAAGTTTCAGAAATTACAAAGTCCACAACTTTCTACATGACCTCTCCCTTACGCCTTTTCATATAATTAGTCTATTTGACGACTTAAACGATCAGGTTGACGCATTCAATGACTTGTTCTTGGAAGTCCTAAATCATCACGTACTGGTCACAATGGTTAAAATTAGATCCAAACCTAATCCATTTATCACACCAGAAATTCGTCAACTGATGAGAACACGCGACCAATGGCGCAAACTTGCTTCGAAAACAAAAGATCCCCTTCACTGGAATGGTTACAAATTTTTTCGTTAAGAAGTTAAGAGGGAGATCCGAATAGCTCAAAAAGCTTACTTCAGGGCTCAAATTCTGGAGAGTAAAGGGAATTCTAACTCTATCTGGAAAATCATTCATCGTTGTCCGCTTCGTAAGAATCAAGATGGCTCCATGGGTTTTGAAGATCTCACTGGCTTAGCTAAAGGACTAAACGAATTTTTCACTTCTGTTGGTAGCCTGACTGCCATAAAAGGAAGTGAGTTGACTTCACAAAACGAGTTCAATTCGAATTTCGAAGTGCTACCTCCTGCTCTTGTTTCTTCCACAACAGTCAAAAATTATCCAAAGTTAGGGAAGCCATGCAAAGTCAGGTACAAAATGTGATCAGAATATTACCGTCTAACAAGGCTCCAGGAATGGACAAAATATCTAGAGTGTAGTGAAGTTGTAAGACCTCATAGCATCCTAGGGACGGACCATTAGATTTTTGCGGTGTGGGGGGAAAGGGGGGGGGATGTTGGAGTGTTGGGCAATAACCTCCGAAAAAATCGAGCACAGGCTTAATGGAAGAAAACACATCGTGCAATTGGCAAAAGACCCCCCTCCCCCCCAGCATCAAAAATCTAATGGTCCGTCCCTTTTTACATTATTCCAAAATGGGTTTCGTTCCGGAACAAAATGAATTTCATACCGCGTTTACATGCAAGATAATTTAGCTTCTAAAAACAAGTATTTACGTCCTTTTTCTATGCTTCCCTCGTTCCTAAAGAGGATTCATACAGATATGTGTGTCGTACCGCGTCTGCTTTGTACAGGTACAAAAGGTCGGCCAAAATAAGTGTTTCGTTCTGGAATGAAAACCTCAATAAACTCATTCAGAAATGACTCGTTTCGAATAATTTTACCTTGGTATCATGTGGCGACCGGAATGAACTCGTTCTTGACCAAAACTCATTCCGATATCATGTAAAAGGCCCCTAAGAGTTTTTATTCCTAGAGCATCACGCTTTGCTCTCCTGCCAGAACACTATAAATTTCAATAGCGTTGAAGCAACAACCCGCTTTGAACTACTACGCTGCTACTGAAACAACGATTAGTGACCACAAAAGTAACATATCATTATATTGTCAATTCAACATATACAAAAATCTTCATACAGGGTAAATATTCATATGTGTTGGTATCAATTATTGCGTGACTAGCTTCTGATATAAATGGGATAGGGGAAAACACAACGTAAAACCTGGGCTCCCGGCAAAAAGTAATACCCAAGCGTGATGTAATAGCCGAAACAGCTTAATGGTCTTATAAAATCATAAATAAACAAGGTAAGAGTGTCATGTTAGATTTCTTTACAAACTGTAGTGATTTATGCCAGTAAACGGTGGCGACAAGTAGGCACACCATGTATATTTCATAGTCGCTAGCAAGTAAATTTTGCCGGACTTTGAGTTCGTCTCACGATAGAACAACACAAATACACAAGGAAATTTTTACAGTAACTTTATAACCATCCTTTTGTCTTTTAAAAGCTAGAAGCTCAGTAGATTCTGTCATATCGGTCATTGTTAAAACTGTCTTTGTTTTGATGCTACTTTTCGACATAGAAAAAGTATGTCGGACAAAAATATTCACCAAAAAATAAATATTTCTTTGCCAGCTTCAATAATGACAGGGGATTAAGTTTAGATGATAAAAGAAAGGATTATTCCGACAGAAATACCGGAGGTCGAGTAAATTCGTTACACGAGGTCACACAATTCGGGTGATATTCAGGGTGAAAATTTGCGTATTTGAGCAGTCGAACGAAAAAAATCATTTCTCAAAAACTAAAATATATTGGGCTACAAAATATGAAAGTAGGAGAGAAAATGGATTTGGGCGACTTGCCGCTGTTTGTGTGGTACATGTTGACATTAGCTCTTAAATTGAATGATGCAATCATGGTTTTCAAGTTCATTAATAATCTTGCTCCAGACTACCTTGCAAATAAGTTTAAGCTACGTTCTTGTGTTCATGACTGGCAAACTCGATCAGCTAGTACTCTGGATAAACCCTTTTGCTGTCTGTCAACTGGTCAGAGATCTTTTGCTTATAGAGGAGCGAAACTGTGTAACTCATTAAGCAGCAATCTTAAGTTTTTAAAATGTCCCAAGAAATTTACGTTTCAATTTACTTAGCTGTGTTACGAGTGATCGTTAAGTGGAAATGATTGTCTGTAGCTAAACAGAACGTAGGATGTCGGAACAGCAACAAAGATGATCTATTCCAAATCGTCACAGTAAATACTGATATACGTTCTCTGCCAAACTTCAAATAATCACAACCGTCGTTAAACTCAACCTCAGTTACACTTTTGAGTAACCTCTACCTCTGTCACACTACTTAGCTTGTGAAAAACAAATAATACTTAACAGCATGAGATTCTGGAACTTTCTGGCCAACCTAATTATAGTAGCATTCCAACGTTTTACTATTTACAGCATTTTACACGGGCTTGAAAAACTACCGATGCGCAGTAATGCGAAACTGATTAAATGTTCAAGAAACTTCTTGGCTTAAATAAGCATACTCACGAAACTTCTGAACAGTCACGGAACAATTTTACGTAGCAAGCTGCTATTAGGTTAATTTCATCATTCAATATTTTTTTTCCTTTGATATATATATTTAGCTGTAACTATAGTTCTATATTCTTCAATTTTAGTTTTATTTCTTTTAACCTTATCTTGTTGCTGAAAAAATCATTCAGGGAGCTTCAATAAAGGTCTGTATCTGAATCTGTAATTTCAGTCTTCTATTTTGCGCAGACATCTAAAGGGTGGATTGCGCAGGAATATTGCTAATGAGTACAAGTGCACCTGTTCCGATGGATACACCGGCAGCCATTGTGAACAAGGGGGGTGGACGACTTTTTTAGACTGAAGCACATAAGATGTTTATTTTGTTTTTATCCATCCTCATGAAATGAAATAGCACGCACTTTTGCAGTAATACCACAATGCTCTCTGATATGCAGATGTTGTTGGTACTTTGCTGATAGGTCTAATCTTTTCAGTGTGTTAGTTCTCAGCACGAACTGCCGTGCCATGTTTCAACTTCTTGACAGCCTACATACTGTGAATGAAAATAACAACATTGTTTGTATAAGCTATCTAAAATTAGTTCACTTTCCGGCCTGGGTAGACTTTAAATTTTTCCTACTCAATGCTTGTGACTCTGAATTTTTAGCGTTTGTGTACTTACCTTGAATCCGAAGGTATCACACAAACGAAGGCGACTTCACTGAAACCTAACCTAACTTCTTTGACATTGCAATCCGTGGGATGCTAAGCTTACAGAATAAAAGATTTAAAGGTGAATCCTGATAGTCGGCTATTATGCAAGTATATGTATAGCGATATGAGAGAAAAGAGTTTTCATTTGCGGCAACCCAATAAGATGCCAAGAGTTTAGAAAGATCAGCTGCCTATTTATGCAGAATATGGCTGGAAGTCGAATCGCATTTATCCTCAGCTCAAGTGTAACTGGCTATGTGTAGTTTACTACAAAGTGTGTTTTATTCTGAGAATAAGTGTTGGTTACGAAGAGAGTTTTTCTTTTAAGAAAATAAGCGCTGAATAAATTATAAAGACACTTCTGGTTATCCATTAGTATTTGAAAAACGGCATTGAAGCTTCTATAGTTCACAATAACATTTTAATAATAACAATCGATAATCTGAATCTGAAATTTTAACTAAGTATCAATGATTAACTTCACAGCGGCAATGAGGCTTCTAGAGTTGACAAGAAAATTTAAATAACAACAACTGATGAACTAGATTTGAATTTTAACGGAAGTCATAATTCACCATTTTTTTGTTTTTATTTTTCTTTCCTTGAATAAGTTGATATATTTGAGTGTTTATTCAGACAGAAATAACTGACGAAATTAACACTTCGCACGGACAAATATGTCTAACATATAATGAACGATTACAATATTAATTATGCTAGAAATAAGAGAGATGGTAAGTTTTGAGCTCGGTAAAGATATAGAGAAAGATGTTTTTTCGTCATGTCGCGAGCGTGGGACAAAGAAAAAAAAGAAAAAATTCTGAGTTCCCATAAGGAGTCAAACCTCAGACCTTCGTATTAGGCGCTCTGGTGCTCGAAAATTTACCATCTCTCTTATTTATATCAACAAACATTACGCTTTAAACATTGCTGACCTCAGCAGTATACAGGACACGTGTCATATGAATGTCGTAATTCACCGTGGAGTCTCTGTTGTTCAGTGGCTAGAGCATCGGAGCGTGGAATCCAAAGGTCTGAGGTTCGATTCCTCATTGGTACTCAGAATTTTTTCTGTGTCCCACGCTCGTGACAAGAAGAAAAAACACCTTTCGCTATTAATTATTCTGTTATTCAGCTCTCAGAGCATCCTTTCCACTTGACTATAGTTGGAAAATTTTTTATAAACGTCTCTAAACTCTTTTTATATTAATTGAGATATTTTCGAATCTTTTACAAAACTGCGTGTACGCACCGAAGGCAAAGTCTCGACCGAAATAATAATGATAATGATAATAATAATTTATTACTTATATAGCGCAAAATACATGTGGATACGATCTAAAGCGCTATTTATCTAGTGCGCCAAGAAAAAATAAAAACAAATGAATTTTTTCTGTGACTTAAGGCTTCACGGTCAAAATATTTCATCTGGCAAGCATGATATCCTGTGGTTTGCCAGAGAGACCCTTGATGCGTTTCAGTTTATTATTCTTATTTATGAGAATATGTGTTGGTTACGAAGAGAGTTTTTTTTAACTAAGTATCAATTATTAACTTCACAAAGACAATGAGGCTTCTGGAGTTGACCAGAAAATTTAAATGACAACAACTGATAAACTAGATTTGTATTTTAAGGGAAGGCGAAATTCACATTTTTTTTTTGTTTTTGAACGATTACAATATTAATCATTCTTTTATTCAGCTCTCAGAGCATCCTTTCCACTTGACTATGATTGGAAAGAAAAATATTAAATAAATGTCTCTGAACTCCTTTTAAATTAATTGAAATATTTTCGAAGCTTTTACAAAGCTGCGTGTACACACCGAAGGTAAAGCTCGACCGGGAAAAAAAACCAAATGAATTTTTTTCTGTGTGGTGTTCTAGTTGGGTTATTAATATCTGAAGTCGAAGTATCTCAGGCTATTCTTTGTAAGGAAGCGTCTCTTTCTTGTCCTGTGATAACTCGCAATCATCGCCGACTTAAAGGCTTCACGTTCAAAACATTTCACCTTGCAAGCCTGATATCCTGTGGTTTGCTATGTCAGAGAGACCCTCGATGCGTTTCAACAAATTTTAGAAACGTTTTCAAAAGTGAGGGAACCTGTGAGTTGAACGACAGAGGAGCTCTCCTTACTGAGAAAGGAAACGAACTGGAATACGACGAAGAAGCAATTTACACTCAATTTTACGACACGAAGGTAACGAAAAAATCTTGATAAAAGACCAAGAAGGAGGTGTTATTGATTCCTCGAGACACTTGTCTTTCATTCGTGGTATCTTTCCCATAAAATCTTCATATTTCGACGACAGATGTGACAACTTTCCATCTGTCATATTTTTCTTTGAATGTTTTTATCGTTTGGTCCTAAAGTAGTTTGACGTGTATGCGGGTAAAATGGTGGTTTTTCATCTTTTTCCTTTAAAGGCGAATGGACCACATTTCACTGAGTGCTGATAATCAAAATGTTGTACTGTCGTTTAAAGTAAAATGAGAAATTTTTCCTAAGTAGGAATCGATATTATTGGAGTCAATATATGCAAACTGCTCCGAAAGTTATATATATTTTAAGTTGAAAGTTCTTTAATAAATTCAGGTGGACCAAAAGTAGGTCATACGGATTTAGTACACAAAATTCAGTATAAAATTTAGCTTGAGGCTAAAACTTTCAAGATGTACCCAAAGGCCTTCAATTAGCTCACTTGTGCAGACTCCATACGGTGATGAACCCAGAAGACTAATTGATTTCCCGATAAAATAAAAAATGAATGATTTTTTGTTTTCAGTACCACTGTCAGGCCTTCAAGGAAGATTTAAAAGTCGTCAACTGCAAATGTAAGTAGCGTTGGCTTGAAAGGTATTCTTGAGATTCGAGTCAACGACTTCGTGTTTAAATAACAATGAGTTAATTGTCCCGGCTGCTTCTTGTCTCTCCGCTAATAGGTGCGGAGTCTGTCGTCTTCGCGAACCTTCGCGGACCCTTACAAACATTCCTCGGACCTGCTTGAAACATTTCGATTCTTACAGTTTCCTTGAAAGTCCTCGAATGCTGTCAAAAACATTGCTAAGGAAACTGCTGACTAGGTTACTTCTAAATTAAAGTGGAATCAAGCCTTTAATTCCCACGAGTGACCAAGACAGAATTTCTCCTTACAATAACCATACAATATCAATCAGACAGGTGATGAGAATAATGAAGAATATAAGTTTGAGGATTTTCTAATTGATCCGGCACCAAATTCTCAGAACTAGCATCATAAGAGTTGTATAGCAGACAGTAAGGAGAATTAGTAATGAGATTTTGGGCACTAAAGGGTAAAGGACAGAAGAACCTGCTGAAGCAGCCGAGGACACTCACTGCGTTATTCACAATTTCAAATGCCGATGTGCCTACCAAATGCATCGCGAAAACATGATAGCGTTGAGTCATCAATATGGGAAGCAATTTAAACATATCCAGAAATTAGACAAGGCAAACTTCAGGGATCCAAAAACTATTGGATACTCCATCGGTGCCGCAGTAAATTTTAACCGTTTTGGGTACGAATTTTCATTTGTAGTAGAGCTTCGACCATCACGTGTAAGTCGGAGAGATTTAACTCCCGTGTAAGTTTTTATCGTTATCAAATTTTTTATTATAATGCTTGAGATAAAGTGGGAAGGTGAGACTGCACTTACTTTTAAATTTCCATTCAAACGGTTTCAAAATCCTCCTTTTCTTTCTATTCAACCGTTCTCAAAATCCTCCTTTATTCTATGATAAACAAATCAATGTCTGTGCGATTGCATTTGTCTGTCTCAATTTCAGGTGCGGAATCACCAAAAGCCCCAGTTCCCCTCGGCATGGAAAGCGGTGCTATTTTTGACTCACAGATCACCGCTTCCTCCGTGTATAATGATAACCTTGCCGCATCGAATGCTAGATTACATTTTAAAGGATCTGAAAACTCACTTAGACGTGCTGGCTGGGTACCTGGAGTGAAAAACACTAACCAATGGCTGCAAGTGGATCTTCAGCAAACCACAAGGGTAATAGGCATAGCGACGCAAGGGAGACATGATTTCGATCAGTGGGTTACCGAATACAAGCTACAATATGGCGATGATGGACAAACTTTCAGAGTTTACAAGCGAAACGGAGACACATCAGATACGGTATGAAAAAATATGCTTAATTGAAAAACCTTTTTGCGGAGAAAAAGTCCCCATGAGGAATAGAACCTTTTTGTATTCTGCATTCTGATTCTCTTTCACTGAGCCACAAGGCAGTTACACTAGGCTGGGCCATATACTCTCTGTCATTGAACCTACAGAAAAGCATTCACGAAAGTTATAGGTTAAGAGTAACTCGTACTGTAAAAACGTACGTGCGTACTTACGCTTGTTAATTTTACGCCCAAATATATTCTACCTAGTTTTTTCTAGGAAACAAGGACAGAGACACAGTAGTTTACCACGATCTTAACCCGCTCATTTATGTTCGCTATGTTCGAGTTCTTCCGATGGAATGGAAAAGGACGATCTCTATGAGGATTGAGCTTTATTCTTGTTAAGGTAACCTACTGGGGTCCAGTTGTGCAACAATGGGCCGAGTTTTTTTGAAAAACGTTTTCTGGGAGACGGAAGGTGAGCGTTGGGTGAGGGTGAGCTGTAATGGACTGACATTACATTTAACCCTTTAGCTCCCAAGATCTTCATCCTAATTCTCCCGTCTAGCTGCTACACATTCCTTGCAAATCAGGTGCAAGAATTAGATTTTAGATCAGGATAACAACTTTTACCTGATACGTTTGAATATTCTCATCACCTGTTTGCAAGATATATCTATGGATATTTTAGGAAAAAGTTTCATTTTAGTCACTTATGGGAGTTAAAGGTTAAGAGCGCTAGCAGTGCTCAGAAACCAAAGCGAGCCCCGGCTTACGGCCAGTTGCCCTTTGAGTTTTACACATGTTTGTAATTTGTCATCGATAGAGCTCACGCACTTCACATAACATCCCCAACAGCTATATCTTTTTTACTAAAATACATTATTTGTTTTTGATAGAAAAACAAATTCTCTTTATTTGTTTAAAAGTGAAAGAGTCACAACTGAAGGGAAGAATTCACCTTTTCGGCGTTAGATTGCACTTGTAGTGTCACGTGACCTCTGATGTAAACAAACCGCGAAAGTTTGGACTTTAAATCAACCACCCACGGCGCGAGTCCGAACTTCGGCTTCGGCATTTTGTCGTGAATAGTTACCCTCTGTCGCGCCATGGAATAATAAAAAACATTCTCTGTACTGTGATTTATCTTCTCAGGTATTTTCAGGGCTTTGAGTGCGTTGATTGTTAAATGAAACCACGTCTGATAGGAGATTATTGCCCACGAATCGCTGTAGAACGTGATCAAGCCTGGATTCCCACACAGAATCTCGTTTCATATCGTATTGCGTGGAATGTTTTATGCACGCAAAGGGGAAATCCTGCCAAATCCAGCTCAATCTTTAAGAGTAGTTGTAGCTTTGAATAGCAGATCACAAAATTTGAGACGGGTTCAACGCTATGAATGGGGTAGAAACTGAAAATATCTGCAGAAACGGGGCATTTCAGTGAGCAGATATTTCACAACGTTTTGTGTGGAAATCGCCTCCGCAGTCGAAAAAAAAGGGTTCTATTAGTGTGTCCAAATTTCGAAAAAGACGGCGCCACTACTTCAGGCAAATCAATAATTCATGATATGTTTATTCTCAATCTAGCTTTTTTGAAGACTGTGAACGATTTTAACGCTTCGCGGCCATTTGGATTGTAGGATATTTTTAATCATTTGATTTACTACTCCACCGCGTCAGGCATGGACTCGCCGCTTATAAATCATTTGAAGATTATCGCCTATTCGATGATCGTTTGTTACGTATCGTAAGCATCAGAAGTCTCGTGACACTACACGTGAAATCTAACGCCGAAAAGGTGAATTATCAATCAGACCCTGGAAGGCAGAGGAATCGGGAAAAACGACCAGAAATTATCTTTTACATGCTTGTTAATGCTGTTTTTGTTTCCTTATTTTTCATATAGAATAACAGCTGTTTGCGAGAAACATCACTGCAGTGCAATCCCTTCTATGGCTTCATTAAGGAAAAAGTGACAAGAAACCTCTGACGAGTTTGCATGCCGTTAAAACGTGTTTAGCAGTTGTAACTGATCAAATTATTTAATAAAGTATGTACCCCTAATTAAATTTGTAAGTAAGCAAATGAACCTTGCGAGTAAATGTGACTCAAATAGTCAGATTTCACGCTCAGGAATTGTTGAGAAATAATGGCACAATAAAGGAAGTTGTTACAACCGTGGAGGTTTCGACTTTTTAGAGCAAAAATGGCTATGAGAGATTTATGGAAACAAACCATCACGAAATCATTGAAAGTCCTGGAATTTTTGCAACGGATAAATCTGATATTATAGTTTCTTCATTAACCAAATTGTGACACGTGTTTCTAGCAGGATTCGAACCTGAAAATTGTGACACGTGTTTCTAGCAGGATTCGAACCTGCAATTCTTCATGTATAAGGCGGACGTGATAACTACTCCACTACAGGAACGCGGCTTGTAAGCATGGCTTTGTCCGCCAAGAGCATCTCACTCATGGTGGGATATGATGTAGTCTTTGAAGGTCAAGAAAAGCTCTGAAGGCGTTTGCGATATCGGCGCAATTTTGATTTTATTTCTAGTTACTTTTACATTCGCTGATCCGGGTTACAATTTGGACTAAAGTAAACTTTAACGTAATTTTGACAGTACACGTATTGCATTATCGGAGAGCTCAATTTTAAATTTTGTCTCATTGCTGTTTATTGAATAAAGATTAAACTCATGCATGCAATATTTGCAACTGCAGAAGACATGGCCACAAGCAAATGATGGCTTTGCATTGTTATTTTTCCTCGTGAAAAAACAATCATACCGACTGTTGCTGTTACATGATTTTATGTTCAAATTAGGTATAGACTGCGTCCTCGTTATATGAATTTCTTTTCGTCAATCAGGTATCAAAGTTCCTCTGTCGTTCATATCACAGATTCCTGTTGCTATTTTAAAACTTGAAATTTTAGGGAAATCAAGAACTTCTTTGACATTGCAAACCGTAGGATGCTAAGCTTACAGAATGAAGGATTTGAAGATCAATTCTGATAGTCGGCTATTATGTAAGTTATAACGCTATGAGAGGAAAGAGTTTTCATTTGCGGCAACCCAATGAGATGTCGAGAGTTAAAAGAGATGAGCCACTTATTTTTGCAGGATATGACTGGGAGTAGAATCGCACTTATCCTCAACTCAAGTGTAATTGGCTATGTGTACGTAGTTTACGGCAAAGGGTGTTTTATTTATGAGAATAAGTGTTGGTCACAAAGAGAGTTTTTCTTTTAAGACAATAAATGCTGAATAAATTATAAAGAAACTGCCAAATACCAATTACCATTTCAACAACTACATTGATGCTTCTATAGGTCACAACAACAACATTTGAATGATACAAATTGATGAAGTGGACCTGAAATTTTAAGTGAGCATCAATTATTAACTTCACATCGGCAATGAGGCTTCTAGAGTTGACCGAAACATTTAAATGGCAGACAATAACTGATAAACTAGACTTGAATTTTAAAGGAAGACAAAATTCACAGTTTTGTTTTGTTTTTTTATTTTATCATTCCTTGAATAAGATGATATATTTCAGTGTTTATTCTGGTAGAAATGGCTTACGAAATTAACACTTCGCACGAACAAATATTTCTTTTTAACTTTAATGAACGATTAAAATATTAATCATTCGGTTATTCAGCTCTCAGAGCATCCTTTCAATTAGCCCGTTCACTTGATTGTAATTGGAAAGAAAAAATATTAAAAAAACATCTCTGAAGTCCTTTTAAATTATTTAAAATCCTCCAGAAGCTGTTAAAAAGCTGAAAGCAAAGTTTCGACTAAAAAAAAACCGAAATGAATTTTCTTCTGTGTGTTCAACTAATCGTGTTATTAGTCGTAGCTTCTCAAGCATTTCTTTGTAAGGAAGCATCTCTTTCTTGTCCTGTGATAACTCGGAATCATCGCCGACTTAAAGGCTTCACGATCAAAACATTTCATTCGGCAGGCCTGATATCCTGTAGTTTGCAATGTCAGAGAAACCCATGATGCATTTCAACAAATTTCAGAAAAGTTTCCAAAACTGAGGGAACCTGTGAGTTAAACGACAGAGGAGTCTTCCCTCTTGAGGAAGGAAAAGAACTGGAATATGACGAAGAAGCTATTTACACTCAATTATACGAGAAGAAAGTAATAAAAATTTGTCTTATCTATTTTAATTATTGATCCTTGCAATGAAGTGGGCATCTTCAAAAAGTGTGTACATATCTGTTTATCTACCGGAACACATCTAAAAAAAAGACGGAAAAGCTACGATCTTCCCTTTGTCACGAGAAGGACAATAAGCTTACGGATGGATTCTCTGTTGGGCGGTAGCGGAATATTAGAACACGAAATCCTCCGACCTGAGATTTTATTTTATTCATGACATATTTTTGGTAATGTTTATCTTTTCGACGTTAGAAGTAAAAAATTCAACATTTCTCTTAACTTAGTAATGTGTCTATCCATCGATCCTCGTCTAGTTATATATGGTGCAATGTCGTGTTTTCATGATGGATGATTAGCGTCGTTACTGCGAATGTTGCCTTAAAAAATAAAATGGGCCTTTTTACCAAATTTTCAGTATCTTTGGAGAAATGATACTTGCAAAGTCCTCCGAAGTACAATAATGTTTAGAATTACAATTGTGTTGAGTCTTCTCAAATAATTTTGTGGACTGAAAGAGGGTAACATTAATTTGAGACAAAAAATTGTAGTTTTTAGCTTAGGTTAAAAATTTATAGATGAGTTTCTATTTGATGATTGACCAAGATGACTAATTGATTTCCTGATAAGAAAAAATGAATATTTTCATGTCTGAGCAGCGCAACTGTCAGGTTTTCAAGGAAGAATTTAAATTCGTCAGCTGCAAATGTAAGTAGGGCTGAGTACATAAGATATTCTTAAAATTAATGTCTAAGATCTTGCACTTACATCACTGAGGAGTTACTCGTCTCAGTCTCCTCTTGTCTTTGCGTCAAGAGGCCACCTGTCAATACTTGCGGAGTCTTCTATCGTCATGACCCTCCCTGAACCATTTCTGGACCTTATCTGCTACCTTCATAGTCCTCGAATGTGGTTTAAAAAAATAAGATTACCCGGGAAAATACTGCGAGGTTTATTTCTGAAAAGAAAAAGAAAAGATGAAGAAAATAAGAAGCTCCCCAAGACGTGTAAGATTCGTATTTTCCCAAATAAAACTCATTGATAATTTCAAATGCAATCTTTGCTTACGCCAAAGCATTGCGAAACTTGAACGCGATAACCTTAAACATATCTAGGAATTTTACATGACAATCCCTATCCAAAAAAATCTGGATCCTCCTAAGGTGCCGCAGTATAATTATCGTCCTGGGTATGAGACGACCTCGAACATCACTCGAAGTTCAGAGTCTTCTAACATTCGGATAGTTCTTATCCGTTAAATTTTTTTCTAATTAGGATCTTTGAGACGAAATGGAAACTATAATCTGCACTGATTTTGATATTTCTGTTCAAACGTTGAAAATATCCGCAGTCATTAGTAGTAAACTTGTCAATATGTGTGATTGAGTTTCTCTGTCCAAAATGCAGGTGAAGAATCACCAAAAGGCCCAGTTCCCTTAGTTATGGAAAGTGGAGTTATTACTTACTCGCAGATTAGTGCATCTTCCGTGTATGATAATACACATGGCCCACAGAATGGTAGATTACATTTCAAGGGGGCCAAAGCCCCGTTGGCGTTTGTATCTGCTGGCTGGGCAGCTGATCTGCTAAACACCAATCAATGGCTGCAAGTGGATCTTCGGAATACCGCAAGGGTAATAGGCATAGCGACGCAGGGGAGACATGATTACGATCAGTGGGTTACTAAATACAAGCTACAATATGGCGACGATGGACAAACTTACAGTATCTATAGGCGAAACGGAGACACTTCAGATACGGTATAAATAAGAATGACTTTTTGAGCAAGATGTTTTTCCCTTCTATTCTTGCTGTGAGGGTGAACCAAAGAAAAAAAATGAAGAGTCCCCAAGAGTAAAAGAATCTCAGTCCTTCGAATTCTTTGCTCCAATGCACCAACACTTCGCCACAGTGATCTTACAGACAGCTGAGCTATTACGAGGTCCATCATATGTTCAAATATGAGCTTTTCTTTTTTTGCTTTTGGTGGGTCTGAGACGAGGTCGAGATACATGAGAACGCTAGAGAACGAGTAGTAAAAAATTAGTGAGATCAAACTGTACTCGTTTATATCTATGTTTGTATTTGATTGCTGATGAACATGTAGAAAAGCATCAACTAAGGTTCTAGGTTTAGAGTTAGCACTCCTGTGTAATGCATACATTCGTCAATTTTACATCCCACAATATTCTACTCAGATTTTCCCAGGAAACACTGACAGGGACACAGTTGTGTATCACGATCTTAACCCGGTCATTGATGCTCGCTTCGTTCGAGTTCTTCCGATGGAATGGCTTGAGTTTATCGGAATGAGAATGGAGCTTTACTCTTGTCAAAGTAAGTTACTAGTTGAACTGTTTATTCCTGGCTGAATTATTGTGCTTAACTCTCAGAAATGATCAACATGAAACTTCTCCCTATAATATCCTTACATTACCCAGCAAACAGGTCATGACAATATTCAAACTTATCAGGTAGAAGTTGTTATCTTGATCTTACATCAAATTCTTCTAACTAATTTACAAGGATATGTGTCGCAGCTAGAGGGGAGAATTAAGAATCCGATCTTGGGAGTTAAAGGTTAACGCATTGTACGCAGAGACATTCAACTTTACAACGACTCCTTCTTCCAACAAGTGAAACCAAAGGATCAGTATACCGGCAGTGGAAGGGGGAGGGGTGGGGGGGATAGATATGGGGCAGAGGGAAAACTCAGGGCAATGGACTGGTTTTAATTAAAGAGTAGTGCCCAGAGACTAAAAGGAACCCTGGTCTAAGGCCAGTTGGCCTCACGTTTTATAATGGTAATTGGACCGAGTAGAGTTTAATACGGTCACTATTTATACGAATGATTAACAAAATCAGACGATCGCGAAGCAGGAGTCTGACTTGTCAATTACGAGTATGATTACCAGAATGAATTTGACGACTCGAGGCTCTGTCACAAACTAATCAAAACTATAATAACATTTGAGAAAGAGACTGGACATCGTTTATACGTCTTTATTAAAAGAAAAACAAAACAAGAGTAAAATCGGCGAAATGCGAGACAAAATCGCGCGTTTATGACGTGATCTGTCCACTTACGCGGGTATGACGTGTTAATTGTCCCTTTAACTACCCTAGTACACTGTGCGATTACAAACATGACGCTTATATTGTCCTATTAGTGCTCAAATCGGGCCAGTGGTAACCAATCACGTTCGAGAGTTTTGTTATAGTTTTGATTACATACGTAATTGCAATATGACAGTAAAGCTCAAACATTTTATATCGGATCCCTTTCTAATTTTTCAATTAATGAGCACTTAACTTCTTTTTAGCGCTTATTTTTGAATACATTATTCAGCAAGCATGCACATGAAAAGATGAGATGAATCTATCGGCTGATAGGTTTTTTTATGATAGAGCACCAAATTTTTCCGACTTGCATGTTTGCTGGTAAAAGTATAGGAGCTAAAAGGAAGAATTTTCAATCAGATCTTCAAAGAAGGAAGAAGGTGTTATTGACTCATCGAGACACTTGTCTTTCATTTGTGGTATCTTTCTCATAAAATCTTCATATTTCGACGACAGATGTGAAAACTTTCCATCTGTCATATTTTTCTTTGAATGTTTTTATCGTTTTGTCCTAAACTAGTTTGACGTGTATGCGGATAAAATGGTGGTTTTTTATCTTTTTCTTTTAAAGGCGAATGGACTACATTTCACTGAGTACTGGTCCTCAAAATATTGTACTGTCATTTAAAGAAAAATGAGTAATACTTCCAGGGTTAAAGGGTTAAGAGCGTTAGCAGTGCTCAGAAACCAAAGCGAACCCCGGTTTAAGGTCAGTTGCCCTTTGGGTTTTACACGTGATTGTAATATGTCATCGAGAGAGCTCACGCATTTCACATAACATCCCCAACACCTAATTTTTTTTTTACTGAGATACATTATTTCTTTTTGATAGAAAACTTAATTCTCTTAACTTGTTTAAAAGTACGAGAGTCACAACCGAAGAGAAGAATTCACCTTTTCGGCGTCAGTTTAAAGTCGTCAGCTACAAATGTAAGTAGGGCTGAGTAGAAAAATAATCTTCAAATTAATGTCTAAGATCCTGCACTTACATCTCTGAGGAGTTACTCATCTCAGCTACTTACATCACTTAGGAGTTACTCATCTCAGCTGTCTTTGTGTCAAGAGGCCTCCCGTCAATACGTGCGGAGTCTCCCATCGTGGTGAGCCTCCCCGAACCATTTCTGGACCTTATCTGGTACCTTCAAAGCCCTCGAATGTGGTGTAAGAAGAAAAAAGAATGCGCAGGAAAATACTGCGTGGGTCATTTCTAAACAAAACAAAAAGATGAAGAAAATAAGACTGAGCTCTCTAAGACGTTGAAGATCCGTATTTTCCTAGTTAAAACTCATTCATAATTTCAAATGCAGTCTGTGCCTCCGCTAACGCATTGCGAAACTTGAACGCGATAACTTTAAACACATGTAGAGATTGTACAAGGTAATCCCTATGAAAAAAACTCTGGATAATCCGAAGGTGCCACGATATTAATTACCGTCCGGGATACGAGATGACATTTAAGAACTTGTACCATCACTTGAAGTTTAGAGACTTTTAATATACGGAGAGTTCTTATCTGTTAAATTTTTTCTAATTTGGATCCTTAGGACGAAATCGAAACTTCAAACTGCATTGATTTTTATACTTCTGTTCAAATGTTGAAAACATCTGCAGTCATTAGGAGTAAACTTGTGAATACGTGCGTTTGTGTTTCTCTGTCCAAAATGCAGGTGAAGAATCACCAAAAGGCCCAGTTTCCCTGGGTATGGAAAGTGTAGTTATTACTGACTCGCAGATCAATGCATAGTCCGTGTGCAGTTATTATCATTGTTTCTCGTCTCTCGCTCCGACGAGGGGCTGACGCTCGAACGTCAGCTTTGAAACTCTGACTGTTGCAAATTTGCGTTATCGACTCAGTTGATGAAACCAAATTACCTTATCATTTATTTGATCAGAAGAAGTCGCTAAGATTTGTTACCATATCGCTTGCAGTGCCCGTGGGCAGTGTGAAGCGAATCCTGTTCTCTGATTGGCTACCTAAGCGGGCAAGATGGCCCATCACAATGTTGGCGATGTAGTCGCAAAAACTCGGCAGAGGGAGATCAAAACAAAGAAAACATAACTAAAATACCCACGTGGGTTTACTGTATTACAAACACAGCTGGCTTTCTCGCCTAGCTCTCTTAAAAAAAAACAGGTCAATCTTGATTTGTAATACAGCGAAACCTTTTTATAGGAAATTCTTTATTGTCCAAGCTTGTTCAGTCAACAACTGCATCAAGTCTTCTATCGTTGACTAGAACATTTAAGTGATAACAACTGATAATCGGCGATCAGGCGATACATATGGCTGTGAGTTATAGCGTGATGAAACTAAGGAAACGAAACGAAATGCTCAGAGTTTAGACATCACAAATTTGAAAGCAAATAGAACACTTCTCGCAGACAAAATATGTCCAGTTACAACGAGTTGAAAATTAATGCAGTTTTATTTGCTTTCAAATTTGTGATGCCTTGATGTAGTTGTTGACAAAATAACTGGTATCTAGAAGTTTTTAAATAACAGTTAGTAATTTAGTAAGTATTTTCAACTCAGTTGCAACTGAGTATATTTTGTCTGCGGGAAGTGTGGTCAAGTACTTAATAAATTATTCAGAAACTTCTACGGTAGATAAAAATATTAGTATCTCAACAACTACATCGAGGAGTCTATAGTTAACAGGAAAATCTATATGATAACAACTGACAAACTAGAAAAATTTTACCGACGGCAGGGTCATTTTTTATTTTAAATCTCTGAATCAAATAAGATCTTTGTTTATTCAGACAGAAATGGCTGACGAGATTAATACTTGACTCGGAAATGTCATCTTCTTTCACATTCAATCAACAATTGAAATCGTACTGTTATCCAGCTTTCAGTGCATCCTTTCAATTAGCCAGTCGACGCGGCTATGATTGGATAGATAATAATTAAAATCTTCAACTTTCATTTAAATTATTCAATGTCGTCCCCTGGCTGACTTCTGATGAAAACGCTTGCGACTTTCAAAGTTGAGGATTATGCATACCTTAGACGAGGTCATCACCAGAAAATCAAAATGAATTTTACTCTGTGTGCTGGACTTATCGTGTTATTAGTGTCCGAAGTCGTAGCATCTCAAGCACTTGTTTCTAAGGAAGCGTCTCTTTCTTGTCCTGTGATAACTTACAATCATCGCCGACTTAAAGGCTTCGCGTTCAAAACAATTCACTTTGCAAGCCTGATATCCTGTGGTTTGCTATGTCAGAGAGACCCTCGATGCGTTTCAACAAATTTCAGAAACTTTTTCAAAAGTGAGGGAACCTGTGAGTTGAACGATAGAGGAGTTCTCCTTACTGAGAAAGGAAACGAACTGGAATACGACGAAGAGGCGATTTACACTCAATTTTACGACACGAAGGTAACAAAAAAATCTCGATAAAAGACCAAGAAGGAGGTGTTATTGATTCCTCGAGGCACTTGTCTTTCATTCGTGGTATGTTCTCATAAAATCTTCATGTTTCGACGACAGATGTGAAAACTTTCCATCTGTCATATTTTTTTTTGAATGTTTTTATCGTTTGGTCCTAAAGTAGTTTGACGTGTATGCGGGTAAAAAGGCGAATGGACCACATTTCACTGAGTGCTGATAATCAAAATGTTGTACTGTCGTTTAAAGTAAAATGAGAAATTTTTCCTAAGTGGGAATTTAAATCTTGGTATCATTGGAGTCAATATCTGCAAACTGCTCCAAAGCTCAATAAAGTTAAATATATTTTAAGTTGAAAGTTCTTAAATAAATTCAGGTGGACCGAAAGTAGGTCATACGGATTTAATACACAAAATTCAGCTCGAAGCTAAAACTTTCAAGATGTATCTAAAGGCCTTCAATTAACTCACTTTTGCAGTCTCCAGGCGGTGATGAACCCGGAAGACTAATTGATTTCCCTATAAAATAAAAAAATGAATGATTTTTTGTTTTCAGCACCACTGTCAGGTCTTCAAGGAAGATTTAAAAGTCGTCAACTGCAAATGTAAGTAGCGTTGGTTTGAAAGGTGTTCTTGAGATTAAAGTCAACGACTTCGTGTTTAAATTACAAAGATTTACTTGTCCCTGCTGCTTCTTGTGTCTCTCCGCCAAAAGGTGCGGAGTCTGTCGTCTTCGCGAACCTTGGCGGACCCTCACAAACATTCCCCGAACCTGCTTGAAACATTTCGATTCTTACGGTTTCCTTGAAAGTCCTCGAATGCTCTCAAAAAAAATTGCTGAAAAAACTGTTGCCTAGGTTACTTCTAAATTAAAGTAGAAATCAAGCCCTTAACTCCCATGAGTGACCAAGACAGAATTTCTCCTTACAATAACCATACAATATCAATCAGACAGGTGATGAGAATAATGAAGAAGATAGGTTTGAGGATTTTCTAGTTGATCCAGTACCAAATTCTCAGAACTAGCATCATAAGAGTTGTATAGCAGACAGTAAGGAGAATTAATAATGAGATCTTGGGCACTGAAGGGTTAAGGAAACAAGAAACTGCTGAAGAAGCCGAGGACACTCACTGTGTCATTCACAACTTCAAATGCTGATGTGCCTACAAAATGCATCGCAAAAACATGATAGCGTTGAGTCATCAATATGAGAAGCAATTTAAACATATCCAGAAATTAGACAAGGTAGACTCCAGTGATTCAAAAACCTCTGGATACCCCAAAGGTGCCGTAGTAAATTTTAACCGTTTTGGGTACGAATCTTGACTTGTCATAGAGCTTCGACCATCACTTGTAAGTCGGAGAGATTTAACTCACGCGAAAGTTTTTATCTTTATCAAACTTTTTTCATTATAATGCTTGAGATAAAGTAGAAAGGTGAAACTACACTTACTTTTACATTTCTATTCAACCGTTTTCAAAATCTTCCTTTACTCCATGATAAACAAATCAATGTCTGTGCGATTGCATTTGTCTGTCTCAATTTCAGGTGCGGAATCACCAAAAGCCCCAGTTCCCCTCGGCATGGAAAGCGGTGCTGTTTTTGACTCACAGATCACCGCTTCTTCCGTGAAAAATGATAACCTTGTCGCACGGAATGCTAGATTACATTTCAAAGGATCCGAAAACCCGATTAGACGTGCTGGCTGGGTAGCTGGACGGAAAAACACCAACCAATGGCTGCAAGTGGATCTTCAGCAAACCACAAGGGTAATAGGCATAGCGACGCAGGGGAGACATGATTTCGATCAGTGGGTTACCGAATACAAGCTACAATATGGCGATGATGGACAAACTTTCAGAGTTTACAAGCGAAACGGAGACATGTCAGACACGGTATGAAAAAATATGCTTAATTGAACAAACCTTTTTGCGGAGAAAAAGTCTCCATGAGGAATAGAACCTTTTTGTATTCTGCATTCCGAGTCTATTCCACTGAGACACAAAGCAGTTACACTAAGCAGGGCCATATACTCTCTGTCACTGAACCTACAGAAAAGCATTCACGAAAGTTATAGGTAAAGAGTAATTCGTACTGCAAAAAAGAAACTTACGCTTGTTAATTTTACGCCCAAATATATTCTACCCAGGTTTTCCCAGGAAACAAGGACAGAGACACAGTAGTTTACCACGATCTTAACCCGCTCATTTGTGTTCGCTATGTTCGAGTTCTTCCGATGGCATGGAAAGGGACGATCGCCATGAGGATTGAGCTTTATTCTTGTTAAGGTAACCTACTGATCCAATTGTGTAGCAATGGCCGAGATTTTTGTGAAAAACGTATTCTGGAAGACGGAAGGTGTGCGTTGGGTAAGGGTAAGCTGTAATGGACTGACTTTACATTTAGCCCTTTAGCTCCCAAGATCTTCATGCTAATTCTCCCCTCTAGCTGCTACACATTCCTTGCAAATCAGGTACAAGAATTAGGTGTTAGATCAGGATAACAACTTTTACCTGATAAGTTTGAATATTCTTATCACCTGTTTGCAAGATAAATGTATGGATATTTTAGGAAAAAGTTTCATGTTAATCACTTATGGGGGTTAAAGGATTAAGAGTGCTAGCAGTGATCAGAAACCAAAGCGAGCCCCGGTTTAAGGCCAGTTGCCCTTTGAGTTTTACACATGATTGTAAGATGTCATCGATAGAGCTTACGCATTTCACATAACATCCCTAACACCTATTTTTTTTTTTTTTTAACTGAAATACATTATTTGTTTTTGATAGAAAACCAAATTCTCTTTACTTGTTTAAAAGTATAAAAGTCACAACTGAAGGGAAGAATTAACCTTTTCAGTGTTAGATTGCACTTGTAGTGTCACGTGACTTGTGATGTAAACAAACCGCGAAAGTTTAGACTTTGAGTAAACCACCCATGGCTCGAGTCCGAACTTCGTCTTTGGCATTTTGTCGTGAATAGGTTCCCTCTGTCGCGCCATGAAAGAATAAAAAAACATTCTATGTACTGTGATGTATCTTCTCAGGTATTTTCAGGGCGTTAAGCGCGTTGATTGTCAAATGAAACCACGTCTGATAGGAGATTATTGCCCACGAATCGCTGTAGAACGTGATCAAGCCTGGATTCCCTCACAGAGTTTCGTTTCATATCGTATTGCGTGAAATGTTTTATGTAACGCAAAGGGGAAATCCTTCCAAATCTAGTTCAATCTTCAAGAGGAGTTGCAGCTTAGAAAAGCAGATCACAAAATTTGAGACGGTTTCAACGCTATGAATGAGGTAGAACCTAAAAATATCTGCAGAAATGGGGCATTTCAGTGGGCAGATATTTCACAACTTTGTGTGTGGAAATCGCCTCCGCAGTCGAAAAAAAGGGTTCTATAAGTGTGTCCAAATTTCGAAAAAGACGACGCCACTACTTCAGGCAAATCAATAATTCATGATATGTTTATTCTCAATCTAGTTTTTTTTGAAGACTGTGAACAATTTTAACGCTTCGCGGCCGTTTGGATTGAAGAATATTTTTAATCATATGATTTACAACTCCACCGAGTCAGGCGAGGACTCGCCGCTTATAAATCATTTGAAGATTACCGACTATTCGATAATCGTTTGTTGCGTATCGTAACCACTAGAAGTCTCGTGACACTACACGTGAAATCTAACGCCGAAAAGGTAAATTATTAATCAGACCCTGGAAGTCTGACGGTTAAGGCAGGGGAATGGAGAAAAAAACGACCAGAAACTATCTTTTACATGCTTGTTATTACTATTTTTGTTTCCTTATTTTTCATATAGAATAACAGCTGTTTGCAAGAAACATCACTGCAAGTCAATCCCTTCTATGACTAATCCAAAATGATTTTTGTTTGTGGATTACAAAGTACAGCAGCAGCTTGATTCGCTGACTAATTAATTATTGGTCGTTTTAACTTAATAGTCGTTATAATTCGTAATGTGAGGGATATGCACCAATGGCAGCACATTAAGACGCACCTGTAAAAAAGAACGAGCGAACGTGCTCTTTTGGAGACTCGTGTTCAATCAACCTCAGTGCCTAACGAGAACCGATTGTGAAAACAAACCAATCTCTCGTGAAAATGTATAATATATCATACTCTCTTAACCACTTTAACAAAGTAATAAATCTTGTTTCGTAGGAAAGTGACACGTGTGTTCATTAAGCGACAAGAAACCTTTGACGAGTTTGCATGCCGTTAAGACGTTTTTAGCAGTTGTAACTAATAAAATTGTTGAATAAAGTATGTACCCCTAGTTAAATTTGTAATCAAATGAACCTTGCGAGTAAATGTGACTCAAATAGTCAGATTTAACGCTCAGGAATTGTTGAGAAATAATCGCACAATAAAGGAAGTTATTACAACCCTAAAGGTTTCGACTTTTTAGAGCAAATATGGCCATGAGAGATTTATGGAAACACATAAACCTATCACGAAATCATTGAAAGTCCTGGAATTTTTGCAATGGAGGAATCTGATATTATAGTTTCTTCATAAATCAAATTGTGACACGTGTTTCTAGTAGGATTCGAACCTGCAATTCTTCGTGTATAAGGCGGACGTGATAACCACTCCACTACAGGAACGCGGCTTGTAAGCATGGCTTTGTCCGCCAAGAGCATTTCACTCATGGCGGGATATGACGTAGTCTTTGAAGGTCAAGAAAAGCTCTGAAGGTGTTTGCGATATCGGCGCATTTTGATTTTATTTCTGGTTACTTTTACATTCGCTGAGCCGGGTTACAATTTGGACTAACGTAAACTTTAATGTCATTTTGACAGTGCACGTATTGTATTATTGGAGAGCTCAATTTTAAACTTTGTCTCATTGCTGTTATTGAATAAGGATTAAACTCACGCATACAACATTTGCAACTGCAGAAGACATGACCACAGGTTTGGCTTTGTATTGTTATTCTTCCTAGTGAAAAAAAAGCCATACCGACTGTTGCTGTAAAATGATTTTATATTCAAA